CTCTCTCTCCCTCCCACTCTATCTGAACAAAAAATGGAAAAATGTCCTCGGGTGAGGATGATAAAAAAAAAAAAAAAAAGATGCTCAAGGAACTTGGTGAGACCTTCAAGGAACTTAGTGAGAATATCAACAACATAATAAAGGATCAGTCAGCCCTGGCCGGTTTGGCTCAGCAGTTACAGCATCGGACCGCAGAGCACATATCTCAGTTGCAGTTCACCCTCAGCCCTGGTTGGGGTTGTGCAGGAGGCAAGCAGTCAATGTGTCCCTCTCACATTGATGTTTCTTTCTTTCTCTCTCTCTCCCTCCCTCTCTCTCTCTCTCTCTCTCTCTCTCTCCCCCTCTCTCCCTCCCTCCCTCCCTCCCACTCTATCTGAAGATAAAATGGAAAAATACCCTCCGGTGAGGATTAAAAAAATAAGTAAATAAAAATTTTTAAAAAGGACCAGTCAGAAATGAAGGATGCACTAACTGAAATAAAGAATAATTTACAGGGAATCAATAGTAGAGTAGGTAAAGCCGAGAAGCAAACCATAGATTTGGAATATAAGGAAGCATAAAACACCCAATCAGAACAGCAAAATGAAAAAAGAATCCAAAACACCGAGGACAGTGTAAGGAGCCTCTGGGAAAACTTAAAGCGTGCCAACATTCCCATCATAAGGGTGTCAGAAGGAGAAGAGAGCGCAAGAAATTTAAAACCTATTTGAAAAATTAATGACAGACAACTTCCCTAACTTGGTGAGGAAACAGACATACAAGTCCAGGAAGCACAGAGAGTCCCAAACAAGACGTACCCAAAGAGGACCACACCAAGACACATCATCTTCAAAATGCCAAAGGTTAAAGACAAAGAGAAAATCTTAAAAGCAGCAAGAGAAAAGCAGTTCGTTACCCAGAAAGGAGCTCCCATAAGACTGTCAATTGATTTCTGAAAAGAAACTTTGCAGGTCAGAAAGGAGTGGCAAGAGATATTCAAGGTGATGAAAAGCAACGACCTACAACCAAGATTACTCTATCCTGTAAAGCTATCATTTAGAATTGATGGATATATCAAGAGTTTCCTAGACAAGAAAAAGCTAAAATAATTCATCACCACCAAACCAGTATTATGTGAAATGTTGAAGGGTCTTCTTGAAGGAGAAGAACAACAAAACTATAAACAAGTAACACATTTCTATCAACAATTGAATCTACAAACAAAATGAGCAAGCAGAACAGAAACAGATTCCTAGATACAGAGAACTTTTTGTTGCTTGCCAGATGGGCAGGGGCTGGGGGGCTGGTAAAAAAGATGAAGGAATTAAGAAGTACAAATTGGTTATTAGACTGATGAACCTCAAGGGAAGCAGGGAGGGAGGACGGGATGAGATAAACCAAAGAACTTCTATGCATATATGCATAACCAATGGACACCAACAATAGAGTGGGGAAGGCAGGAGGGGGGCGGGATTGGGGAGGAGGGGGTCAGTGGGGAAAAAAAGGGGGGACATCTGTTTTACATTCAACAATAAAGATGGGAAGGAAGGAAAGGAGGGAGGGAGGGAGGGAGGGAGGGAGGGAGGGAAAGAGAAAGAGAGAAAGAAACATGTATGTTGCAAATCTTTTATTTTTTTCATGTATTTGCTCTGGTTTCAAAAATACAAGTGACAAACCCTGGCCAGTGTGGGTCAGTGGTTAGATCATCAGCCAGAGTACCAAAGGGTCTCAGGTTCAATTCCCAGTCAAGGGCACGTACTTGAGTTGCAGATTCCATGCCACGCCCCGGTTTGGGCATCTGCAGGAGGCAGTCAGTCAATGTGTCTCTCTCACATCAATGTTTCTCTCTCTTTCTCCTTCCCTTCCACTCTATCTGAAGAATATCCTCTGGTGAGGATTAAAAACATAAAAAATAATAAAAATAAAAACTAAATCCTACCAAATTTCACTCTGAGATCACTAAACTTATTTGGGGTTAAGATAATTAACTTTGCTGTTAACTTAAAGTATCATCACTAAAATGCGTATATATTCATTTCTACAGTGTTGTTTCAAAGTAGAGCTCTCACTATAAATGTTCTTTGAAAGTTGCAGTGTAGAAAAAGGCAACTTGCAGTCTAGCCAAAAACAGGCTACTTCATTAAGTAAGTTTGTAATTTCAGAACTTCTTACCTTTGGAGCCAACATTTTCATCTGTACTGGTTTCACGGAAGCAATAGGTTTCAGTTTGTTGACATTTGTCGTTTTGGTAGATTGAACAGGTACTTTGGTGTTTGGCGCTTTCTATAAGGAAAAAGAAACGTGAATAGAGCAACACAGCCAATGTTGCCCCCTGTGGGCACACATACAGTCCTCATGATTGTTACCTTAGCTACTTGTGTGGCTCTGGTTATAACTCTATTTCCAATTTCTTCTAAAACTGCTCGCCGGAGTGTCACATGACTCTTCTCTTTAGAATTAACCTCTGTGTCAATATTCTCCAAATCAGTGGACACCTAAAAAGAATTAATAAAGAGTTGAGACAATTGAAAATAGTTGGCTAATGTCAGACATCCAAATTTAGAATTGCTTTAGGAAAGGTTAATAGGCTGAGATCTATTGGCAAGAGGAAAAAGGTACATTTCAGGAAGTCTAAATATACTATTTGTGTTTGATAACATCACTCTAAATTAGGTAGATCACTTATCTACCGATAAGAAATCCCATTAAGAGCTTAACAGATAAGTGATTATTTTTCATATAGCATCCATGTCGCTTGTTAGAGGGCCCTATATATTAAAGGTATCTACAGTATTTAAAACCCTTCCTTTACAGAGATAAATAACAAGTGCAATTAAGATGTAATATTGAAAAGTTATAACAACCCTGGTGGATTTAGCTCAGCAGTTAGAGGGTCTGTCCTCAGACTGAAGAGTCATGGGTTCGATCCCCAACCCAGACAGGGTTTTACAGGAGGAAGCCAATAGATATGTCCCTCTTACATCCATGCTTCTCTCTCCCTCCTACTCTATCTGAAGATAAACAGGAAAAGATCCTCAGGTGAGGATTAAAAAAAAAAAGTTAAAACAGGCCCTGGCCAAGTGGTAAGTTGGTTGGAGCATCACTCTGTACACCAAAAGGCTGCAGGTTTGATCCTCAGTCAGGGCACGTGAGGGAGGCAACCAATCAATGTTTCTCTCTGTTTCTGTTTCTCCCCCCCCCCCCCCCGCGCCCCCAGTCTAAAAATCAATAAAAACATATCCTCAGGTGAGGATTTTTTAAAAAGTTATAATAGGTTTGCCTGATTAAAAACCAGATGTTTAAAACCTAAACTAGCTTTGATTCTTATGACATTCTAGAAATAAGAAGTGCTCATGTAGACATGATCTTGTAGAGATACAGCCTTTAAAAACGAGGTTGCCATAGCACGGACTCTCTCTTATGTTAAGGATTCTTAGAAAGAAAGTTCTTGTGGGTAAAATAGTTTTACTCTCAAATTCAGAGAAAGTTAAAATTGTATGAAATAAAAATTGTTGGTTGACCTTAACCTGTTTTAGACAAAATGTGCTCAGAAACAAAACCTGCTAAGAAATGGAATTCATATAAAAAGAAGTTAATTATATTATAGAAGTGAAAAAAGCATGTCACAAGAATAATACAGCATGTCCTATCCCCCAGAAATTGGGAGTTCTAATCCTAAAGAATCTCCCAACAGGGGGTTTGAATGGACCTATCAGGGCAGACAAAGTGGGCAAGGGAAAACTCAAGTTTAGCTAGATAAAAAGAAGTTGACTATGTGATAGATTAGACAAAAATTACTTGTCAGTTCCACGAAGATCCACAAAAGGGTATAAAAACGGAATGTATTCAACTTATTAGGATTCTCAAAAGTCATACTGTTCAATTCTTCCAGCAGTAATTGCCAACTTTTAAAGGTGTTTGAAAGTGTAATGCTTATGAGTGGAAGCCTGGTAATGGGACTAATTCTAAATCCAACTTTTTAATCTTAGCCTTTACAGCCAGGAGGTTGGAACTCAGGTGTGTTTGGGATCTCTGCTTTTCAGCAAAGAAAATGTAGGTCCAAGTACAGTCCAAGGCCACAGAAAAAAATATCCCAAACACCATTAACACTTTGTTTGCAAAGATGAAACAAATGAGTTCAAGCTTGATCAAACATCCAGGACACTTCACTGACTGGGGTATTTCTTCCCGCCCTTCTCCCCATCCCCACCACGGGTCCCTTAGCTGGTAAGGAGCCTGAGCAGAGAGGAAGGACACCCCAAGAGGCCTGTACTCCGCGAGCTCTCTAACCACTAAGAGCACTCGGGATCGCTACCTGAGTACTAGGCCCCGGCTCGGGAGGCTCGCTGTACAGGTGCCTCCTCCGCGGCGCTTCCCCGTATTCCCTTCCCCCACCCTGCCCCATCCCCTCCCCCGCCGGGCTCAGAGACCCGCAGGGGCGGGGAAAGGAGAGCGGGACCCAGGCCGGGAGAGGCCGGCCAAACGGGACAGGTCGCAGGGGAAGCGGGCAGCCGGAGGAAGGGGAAGGCGGCGCCGGTTGGGACGAAGCAGCTCAGAGTAGGAGAGAGAGGCTAGGGGCGTCCGAGGGGACTGCGCGGCCGAAGCCACTGGCCCGTGTCGGGGGTCGCCGGGCCCACTCACCGTCGGGCGTCGGAGCAGCGCCATGAGGGACAGGGCAGGCAAGAGTGCCAGCCTGGCCCAAGGCGGGACGCGAACTGGAGGGAGAGGGCACAGAGGTGCGCGGCGCCGTTAGGTCCGCTCTCCGAGCCCGCACCGCTGACGATCTTCGGACGTCGCCCAGTTCTAGGATTCAAATACCGCGCAGCTCGCGCCCCCATTGGGCGGCCCTACGTACGGCGCGCTCTCCCATTGGCTAAGCAGACGGCATTTCCGCATGCTGATTGGCTGAACTTTCCAGATCCGTTTGATTGCCATAACAACTGGTTGTTTTTCGCCTGTCTTTTTAAAAAATCTCGGCCTCCAAGATAAACAGAAATGAAATGTCTCACTGAGAAATCAGACCTAGGACGCCTTCTCTGAATTTTGACAAGGGCTGAGCTACGAATGTTTCTCTACATTTGTACTGGGTGGGTGGAATTGGTTCTAGGGAACACCTTGAAAATGCCATTTCTGATCTCTCTCTCTCTTCCGGAAATTTCGAGTTGGAGTTGAGGTTAGGTTGGTTTGGGTCGTGAATAGGGGCGCCTCTGGGTGGCTCAAGGCTGCATTGTATTAGGTGATTGAGACTCAAACGCGTGCTAAAGGAATGGAAATTGTGGCATTTATTCAAAAGCTAAGATTCCCAGGAGAGGCAAAAAAAAAAAAAAAAAAGGTAAATGCCATTTGGGGTGATTTGTGATTCGTGTAAGAGTTCATTGTATTGCCGGCACCAGCACCATTGCTTGGTATGTGTTATGGTTGGTGTTCAATAAATTTTCGTTGAATAAATGATCCAATGACGTGCAGGGTGGTTTAAAATGAAAAAGAAGGTGTGACCCAGCCTTGGACAGAAGGCTAAGAGGATCAGGTCAAGACAGGAAAACAGGAAACAAAAAGATGAGACTAGGGAAGGGGAAAAGGGAGAGGTAAAGAGAAGTCCAATGCCCACAGTAAAGGTAGTGGAATAATTCCTAATAACAGGCTTCATCTAAGCATTTGAGCAAGAATCCCTATCACACCCAATCTACTCTTTAAAAAATGGTTACCTCTCTATTACTGGGGTACCAGTGAGCCTTAAATAAAGTTTAAGATCTGGATTAAATTCCTCCTCTTGGTCTTGCATCTGACATTTCTAAACCTGTTTCCTCTTCTATAAAACAGGAATAATTACAGCTACTACCCAGCTTGGAAAGATGTTAGTGTATCCATTGTCCTATAAGAAAAAGTCTTAGGAAGGAAAAATAAATGTTTAGTGCACTGGGGTTGTGAGTAAAATTATATTTTTGCTTTATTGTTTGTACTATGATGTTATCAAAAGTTACAACTATAAAAGTAATATTCACTGACTTACATTATAGGACTTTGTAAACAGAAATGCTGTGAATGATAAAGTGCTCTTATTAACTGACTTGACATTGTCAAAATCAATTACTTTACTCCATATTAGACAGATTGTATTCTCATTATAAATGAAAGTAATATGTATTTATTTTTTATCTCTCAGTGCAAGAAACCTAGAACTTAACAAATTAACTTTGATTCAACCTCATTAAATGCATTGCAGTCTTATATTTTTATGTCCTGTTCCCTCCTGCCTTAGATAACATTGATCACTCCTATATACTAATTTATATAAACCTTCTTGTTGAAGCCTCATAACAATCCTTACAAAGCAGGTAGTATCCCAATATTTTGTTATTTTTTTAAATTGAGCTATAATTGACATATTACTTTTGGGTGTACAACATAATGATTCTATATTTGTATATATTGCAAAATGATCATCACAATAATTCTAGTTAAGATCGATCACATCGTATCTCAATTTGAAAAAAAAACTAAGGCTCAGAGCAATTAAATATCTTGGCTGCAATCATTTCATTTGAGTTTCAGAGCTAGGATTTGTACTGGGGTCTGATTTCAAAGCTCATGCTCTTTCTACTACATTTACCATTTATTCTTTGGCAGAAAGAATAGGGAAAGTTTGGAACAGTCATTGAAGGAAATCAAATAAAACATTAACCAAGAATAAATTTCTTGAAGGCCAATGGCCCTTTGCAGTGTGGTATAATTCTGCATGATCAATTAATTCACTTTGCTTCCATTTCTTGGTCAAGTACTGCTTCAAAAAGATACACATGTGAACTTCAGTGAATATGGGGTGAAGGGAGAATACTGCAGGCAGAACGAGCACCCCAAGCAAAAGCACAGACCACCAGTATTGGGCTGACATGTTGGGAAACAAGGTGAGTGTCTTGGTTTGGCAGAAGCTATTGGGCTTCTCAACCCCATGAAAGGGAGTCAGAGACAGAGATTCTGAGGTTCCTACACAAATGTTCATGTCCTGGAGTACCAATGGGAACTCTTCTGTTATTTTTTTTTTTCTTGATTGATTTTAGAAAGGGAGAGGGAGAGAGATGGAAACATCTATGACAGAGAACACGGATTGGCCACCTCCTACATGCCCCCCACTGGGGATTCAGCCCACAACCTGGGCATGTGCCCTGACTGGGAATCAAACCAGCGATCTCTTGGTGCATGGATCAACACTCAACCACTGAGCCACACCCGTGGGCAACTCTTCTGTTCTGACACCTAAATCCCCCAGCTAGGGTTAGAGTCTTGCAGTCTTGGCCATAAGGATTATCCTTTTGAATCATCAAAGATTTGCTTCCTCATTGGCCTGCGGTCCAGAGAGACCCAGGTTCACTTCCCGCTAAGGGCATGTACCTCGGTTGCAGTTTGTCTTTGGCCCTGGTTGGTTGTGCGGGTGGCAACCACTCGATGTGTCCCTTTCACGTCGATGTTTCTCTCTCTCTCTCTTCCTCTCTCTCCCTCCCACTCTATCTGAACAAAAAAACAAACAAAAAAATGTCCTCGGGTGAGGATTAAAAAAAAAAAAAAAAAAAAAAAGATTTGCTTCCTGTTCCTCAGACCCTCCTTACTTCTAATTTTTTATTCAGATACCCACCTCTTTCTCCCAGTTCTGGGATTTTTTTTTCTCCAGGACTTTCCCCCATTGAGATTCCTTCACAGTCAGATAGGCACTGTTGATGGAGAATTCAAGAGTTTCAGGAGGCAAAAATTGCCCAGGTCAGGTCAAGGCTGGAAACCTCACAGCCCTCCTAGAAGTCTCATCGTCAGGCCACTAGGACCAGCTCAAACTCAACCCCAGGTGCTGCCTAATTCCAACAAATGCACTAGATGTGTTCATTGTTCCAGATCACAATGAGGACATCAAGGGCCCGGTTTAATTTATATGCCATTAATTTACAAAAGACACAAATGACAAATGATTTTCATCAGATTTTTATCAGAACCCAGCTATCTTCCTAACATAGTACCAAGTTCTCGCCCTCAGCTGCTCTTACCCCATTTCTGTGCCCCCCCCCCATTTCTGCCTACCAGTTTGATTTCTGTTCTATCAACTAGCTAGGATATAAAATAATATTTGATATATTAAAATGAAATAGTCTGGGCCCGCCGGTGTGGCTCAGTGGATTGAGCATTGTCACATGGACTGAGAGGTCCTGGTTCGATTCCTGGTCAGGGCACATGCCTGGGTTTTCAGGCTCTTTTTCCAGTAGGGGGCATGCAGGAGGCATGCAGGAGGCAGCCAACTGATGTTTCTCTCTCCCCCGCCCCCTCTAAAAAATCAATGAAAGTGTGTTTTAAAAAACTAAACCATCTGTATGCGAGGCACTGCAGCGAACACAGAAGAATACAGGATGAGTTAAGCCCTCAAATTCAAAACAAGAGAGGGGTTACACATAGAAACAAAATTACTCCAAGAGGCAGAACCTATAAAATACTGAGCACAGCCCTGGCCGGTTTGGCTCAGCGGTTAGAGCGTCAGCTTGCAGTCCAGAGAGACCCAGGTTCGGTTGCAGTTTGTCCCTGGCCCTAGTTGGGTCCTGCGGGTGGCAACCACTCGACGTGTCCCTTTCACATCAATGTTTCTCTCTCTCTCCCTCCCTCCCACTCTTATCTGAACAAAAAATGGAAAAATGTCCTCAGGTGAGGATTAAAAAGAAAAAGAATAAATCTGTGGAAAAACCAAGTATGTAGTCTGAGGTATTTGAATGATAGGAATGTTAAAGCTGCAAAAGTCCAGAAAATGAGGCGTCAAAGCCAGTTTTTAAGGATAAAGACTTTGTCAAAATTTTGCTTTAGAAAGCTGATCCCTGAGATACACAGAGGAAGGATTAGAGAGGATTGGAAAGCTAAAGGTTTCCCAGGTGAGATTTGGATGAGTGTAGAGAATTAAAAAAAAAAAAAAGGTATGAGAGACATTTAAGGAGAAATGACAGAACCATGGCAGTTTACTGAATGGGGGTGAGAAGCAATAACAACTATAAGGTAACTTAAAAGCTTTGAGTGGTAGCTGGGCCGGGTAGCTCAGGTGGTTGTAGCATCATCTGGAGTATTGTTCCCATGCACCAACCAATCAATCTATGTTTCTCTATTTTTTTTAAAACATATTTTATTTTATTTTTATCCTCACCCGAGGACATTTTTCCATTTTTTGTTTAGACGGGGGAGGGGGGGCATCGATGTGAAAGGGACACATCGAGTGGCTGCCACCCACACGACCCAACCAGGGCCGGGGACAAACTGCAACGAGGTACGTGGCCTTAGTGGGAACCGAACCCAGGTCTCTCAGGATCACAGGCTGACATTCTAACCGCTGAGCCAAACTGGCCACAGCGCGCGCGCGCGCTCTCTCCTCTCTCTCTCTCTCTCTCTCTCTCTCTCTCTCTCTCTCTCTCTCTCTCTCTCTCTCTCTCTCTCTCTCTCTCTCTCTCATCAATAAACATATCCTTGGTTAAGGATTAAAAAAAAATGTTTTGAGTGGTTAGGTTAAAATTTTCTCTCCATGCCCTGGCCGGTTTGGTTCAGCGGTTAGAGCGTCGGCCTGTGGTCCAGAGAGACCTGGGTTCGGTTCCCGCTAAGGGCATGTACCTCGGTTGCAGTTTGTCCCCGGTCCTGGTCGGTTGTGCGGGTGGCAGCCACTCGATGTGTTCCTTTCACGTCGATGTTTCTCTCTCTCTCTGTTCCTCTCTCTCCCTTCCACTCTACCTGAACAAAAAGTGGAAAAATGTCCTCGGATGAGGATAAAAAAAAAAAAAATTTCTCTCCATTATACCAAGCTAGAAGATTCCAAAAACCTTTCTGCTCTATTACAAAAGATTTTGTTTTTAATAACATACACTAATATAAATTTAATTTCCAAATAGTACATACTGAAAAACACTGAGCAAAGCCTTTGCTAGCTCAAGCTTAACTAAGTTATTATAAATATAGTAAATATAGTAACTTTGCCCAGCCAGTGTGGCTCAGTGGTTGAGCGTCGACCCTTGCACCAAGAGGTCACTGGTTCAATTCCCGGTCAGGGCACATGCCCAGGTTGTGGGCCAAATTCCCAGTGGGGGGCATGCAGGAGGCGGCCAATTGATGTTCTATCTCATTGATATTTCTATCTCTCTCTCTCTCTCCCTTTCTTTCTCTCTAAAATCAATAAAGAAAACAAAAATTTTTAAATAAATATAGTAACTTTCATTGATAATTTCTTTGCAAGGAGAGGCGGGTCAATTATTTTTCTTACAAAAAGAAAGCCTTTTCTTCTGCCATGCTTGTGTCCATCTTGACCTATCCTTTCACCCTTACCCATACTAGCTCAACATGGTCTTTTCCATGAAGGTAACCAGGCACTCTATTGCTGGCTAGGCAGAGTGCATGGGTATGTCCGCCATCTAGGGTTTGTACGTTTGACCAGAAGCAGGGAGACCAGGGAAGTAGAAACAAACACCTTTCTAGTGCCTTCATGGGCCTCAATTCAAAACAATTCTTTAAAATCTGGACCTCAAGCTTGTGGACTGTTTTGTTGTTGGTTTTTAATCAACCAAATGCCTTCTATAAGTAAGTATACTGTGCAAAGGCATAAAAACTGGGTCTCTGCCTTCATGGTGCTCATAATATAAAGATAAGGTGAAGGAAAGAATATACAGTGATACCTCGGTTCTCGAACGCCTCGGTTTTCGACCAAATCGGTATTCGACCAGGAGATTCGAGAAACTTGTCTCGGAATCCGAACAAATATTTGGAACTCGAACTTCCGAGATGAGCCGAGTTGAGCCGAATGGTGTTCATTCAGCCCAGCGCGCCTTGCTTGTGTCATCAGTGTGAGTGCAGAGAGAGAGTCACGCTTTGTGGAGTCACGCTTTCCTATTGGTTTCATTGCTTCGGTTCTCGAACAATTCGGTTCTCAACCGTCCTCCTGGAACGAATTATGTTCGAGAACCGAGGTATCACTGTAATTCACTCATGCTTAAGGAGTAAAAAGGTTTAAAAGGTCTGTTGAGGATAAGAAACCATTGATTCAAGAGATTTTACATTATGCTATTCACTTATTCATGTATTTCTGGTTCTCTGTTACGACAGATAAACATTGTGAGACACTCTTAAGTTTTGTATCATATCCTAATCAGCTTTAGGGCAATATTAAGGAGCTGAAGAATGCAGAGAATGTCCCAACTGGCATACCAAGTTGACTTTTTCTGCTGCAGCCCCACTTTTGGGCTACACTGTGCCTGGTGGGGGGTAAGGGGGTGGGGGGGTGGGGCAGTTACACTGGAACATGAGAGCCTACCCCACTGTTACATAGATGATGAAGTGAGGACAGTGTCTCATTTCTCTTCAGTTTGTAATCTTTTTCCAATCAATTCTTATTTCTTCCATTTCCACATCTATTCTTTAGGAAACCTGTGCTCCCTTAGAAAATACCAGTGTTCCAAGACCTAACTCATACCTGATATGGAATTAGGTTAATTCCATACTTTATACTGCTCAGACCACATCTGGAGTAATGATCATTAATAGATATTATGCTTTGAGAAACAGGAATAAACTAGTAGTCAGAAAAAGGTGGTAAGAATAGCTAAAAGGTTTAAGATCCAGTTTAAACAAAAACAAGGATATAAGGATATTTCATTTGTAATTAAAAAAAAAAAATTTTTTTTATAGCCCTGGCCAGTTTGGCTCAGCGGTTAGACCGTTGCGGGTTCAATTTTGTTCAAGAGCACATACCTAAACAGACAACTGGGATGTTTCTCTCTCTCTCTCTTCCTCCCTCCCACTCTGAAATAAAAAGAATGTCCTCGGGTGAGGATTAAATAAATAAAACACCACTTTCCCTTAAAAAAAAAGTACATATGTATGTGTGTGTGTATATATGTGTGTGTGTGTGTGTGTATATATATATATATATATATATATTTTAAAATTTTTTAGATAGAGTGGGAGGAGAAACATCAATGTGAGGGAGAACCATCAATCAGCTGCCTCCTGCCCATCCCCTAATGGAGATTGAGCCCACAAACTGGGCAGCATGTGCCCTGATTGGGAATTGAACTCAGACCTCTCAATCCATGCATGGGTCAATGCTCAACCACTGAGCCACACCAGCCTGGCAAGGATAATTCATTTGTATAGGACCTAAATAAGTCAAGATTGCTATCCTACAATAAATATCTGTGGAGCTAGCATACAGCAAGGAACCAGGTTTATTTTTGCATTGCTTTAGCATATAGAATAGGACCCTATGTGAGGATACAGGAAAATGTATCAAAGGAAAAGAATGATCCAGTTTAAACAAAAACAAGGATACTAAGGATGTTTCATTTGTAATTTTTTAAAAATATTTTTTTATAGCCCTGGCCAGTTTGGCTCAGTGGTTATTTTTTTTTAAGTGTTTACAAAAGAAATGTGCTTCTTCAAAGCAATAGATAACTATTTCTCAGTAAGAGATAATACAAAAGTATTGATTTTAGAGAGAGAGGGAGAGGGTGAGATTGATTTTAGAGAGAGAGGAAGGGATAGGGTGAGAGAAACACATCGATTGGTTGCCTCCTGCATGCCCCCCACTAGGGATTTGGCCCACAACCTGGGCATGTGCCTGGACCGGGAACTGAACTGATGACCTTCTGCAACATGGGTCGATGCTCAACCACTGAGCCACAATGGCTGGGCATGAAGAGAAAAAATTTTTAAAGAATTAAATTTTGCCACTTGTGACAACATGGATGAACCTAGAAGGTATTATTCTAAATGAAATAAGTAAGACAGAGAATGATAAATACCACTATAATTTCATTTATACATGAAATTTAAAACTCAAAACAAACAAAACAGAAAGACTCATAGATAACAAACTGATTGTTGCCAGAGAGGAGGGGATGGAGGATAGGTAAAAAAAAAAAAAAGTGAAGGGAAATAAGAGGTATGAATGTCCAGTTATAAAATAAATAAGTCATGGGGATGTATTTACAGCATAGGGAGCATAAATAGTATCACAATAACTTTGGTGGCAGGTAATTACTAGATTTATCACGGTGACACATCATAAGGTATATAAATGTTAAATAAATAACTATATTATATACCTGAAACTCACTGTATGTCAACTATTCTTTAATAATAAAAAATAAAAGAAACAGATAATTTGGGCTAATCAAAAACTTCTCCTGGAAACCCACACCTACTTGTCAGTCTAAGAAAAACCCTTTAAGTAGCTAACACAACAGGCAGCTCAGTAGTGTGTGCTTAATGAACCTTTAAGGGTACCAGGTCCCTGCCTAATGCAATTTAGTGAGGAGAAAAATTAGGAGAGAATGAGAAATTCTAGTTGTTAGTGTCTCCATAAAACTTTCTTTTAGGGCAGAGATAACAGTTTCATGTCCTGTGCCAGTTCTGATCCACTGGCGGTGGCTGCCTAGAACACAGCACTGGATGGTCCTGACGGGCAGCAAAGCCCCTGCTGTGACTGCAAGGCAAGGGAAGGAAGCACACCTGCTGGAAATCTTCCAGCCCTCTGGTAGAAGAAGCATTTCAACCCATCAGAGAAGGGCTAAAGAAGATTGTTCCTTCTTATCTAGTAATTACCTGCTTGGATTCAAAGAGAAAGATTAGTATTGGCTGATTTGGCTCAGCAGTTAGAGCATTGGCCCAATGACTAAAGGATCTCAGGTTCGATTCCCAGTCAAGGTCGTGTACCTGTGTTGAAGGTTTGATACCCGGCCCCATTCAGGAGGCAACCCAATTGATGTGCCTCTCTCACATCAATGTTTCTCCCCCGCCCCCCCACTCTATCTACAAATCAATGGGAAAAATATCCTGGCGTGAGGATTAACAAAAAAAGAAAGATAGATTAGCGCAAACTCTGATCTACAGTTCAGCACCTTGCCATGCTACAATTTGTTATTAAAGACAAGGGTGGTGGGGCCCTTGGTGGGGTGGGAAGAAGCAAGCAAGCATTGGGTAAACTTATATTCATAAGTATGCACTATATGCTCTTCACACTGTCTCATTTAATTCTAGTAACCTACTTCTGTTTTATAAATGACAACGACGAGACTCAGAAAGCTTCAGTTCTGCACAGCTGCACAATTCAAATCTCAAGTCTGTCTGACATCAAACCCTGGATTGTTTTTTCACAACTCCCAAAAATCACGTGTGCGGCCTATGAACAGAATGCACGGGAGAGAGGAGATTGTCCCTAGTAGGCCCAACCACAAAATTGGTAACATTTATTTCTCTTAGTAAGAAATATTTGTTTTGGATATAAGTCTTAATTCAAGAAAATGACTGAAATCTTTAACTGAGAGGATATTTCAATCTTGATATATCCAGTATCATGACACATGGAGTCTTAAATAAACAAGAAAATTTACTGGGTTTCCAGAGGTTTTGTAAGTTACGTTAGAAATCAGGCATTTACTACAGAATTAAACTATTCCCAGTTATGAAACACTAATAATGAATGTCCACAGAGCTTGTATTTTAATGTTACAAATACCATTTTTAAAATACAGCTAGTTTTCTGTATGTCAAAGTGTTATCTTCAAATGATGAAGTGTGCTTGCAGCTAAAATAAAGTCACCAGAGTAAGAAAAATGTTTCAAATATCAGTTTATCACTTGCATATTAACAACAATAAAAATAAGGATTTGCTGACAAAAGAATTTTAGTTTTAGAGTATTTTGACAGCTATCACTGAAATTTTCATTTCAATGTAAGATGCAGCAGAATATGTAAAACACCAAAACAAAGCACAAAAAGTTAAAATATTAAAAATGTTCTTCCTTACTTGGTTCATTACTAATCACATTCTCCTGTAACTAACTGCAGTACCTCAATAAGCTCCTGCATGAACAATTCAGGTTTATGCCACAAATACTTGCATTAAATAAATTTTAAAGTAATAAGACTTTATCTAATAAAAAATCAGTAGCAATTATTAAACAGGTCAACAGGTAGTTGTACATCTAAATCTGATATAATCTTAAAAAATAGAGAAATCTGTAATTTTTGTGTTTAGGGGAACATCAAGAGGACTCCATTATGTAGAATTCTCCTATCTTATCCCTTGGCACAGACCCTGGGTTTTCCAGTGGCAAAGTCCTACATCCACCACAGGCTACTTGAAGACGGGCAGGCTACTTGCTCTTTTCCCCAGTAAGATGGCAGACATGAGCCACTTTCTCACTGTCTGGTCCCCTCACCCCTGCCCCCCACCCTTCTACATCTGCAACTTAATCAAGTATTCTTTTTTAAAATGTTATTTTATATCCAAATTTCTTTACCACAGTCCATCTTCCATCTCTACACATACTATGTTGAAGCATGTTTGATATTGACAATTACTACAGTAAAACATTTAATAATACAAAAAGGCAAATAGCCATAACTGAATGAATACAAACACCAAATTATGCAAATGTCAACTTCAGGAATCATTATTTTTGAATTCCAAGATTTTTAATGTAAACTGTTTTATAAAAACTAATTATTAAACACAAAGACAATAGAAATATAAGTTATTTATTAATCAATCCACTTACAAAGCAGGTGGCTTAATGCAAGCTTATTGACATCTTCACATATGATCCATGGGAACATGTCTTCCACATACAGACAGTGATGTTACTGACTGATGCATGTGCAATCTGGGACATATTAAGCATATTTAAACAAATAAAATTAGGCTATCCTGTATATGAAAGTATCTTGATAATATGCATCCTGAAGTGGACTAAAACTTTCTCCAAAGGAGAAATGTTAGTATGTTAACTTAACTTTATATTCTATATTACGCAGTAAATCTTAACTATAGAAATTAAAAATTTTAAATCAGTGATCGACTCTTGGTAATGTATGAAGTGGGAGTCTAAAACCAGAGCAACAGTAGGTTGACAGTATAATTTGTGCCTCACAGTATCTGCAGATTTACTGTTTTCAAGTTTAAAGAGAAATAAAACATGAGACATGTAGATTCAGCTAACTTTATTTATCTTTAAACTAATAAAAATCCCTTAAAAGTGATCCTGGGACCTTTAGTATGAATGCATAGATACCTGCCAATGACTGCAATTCTAAATCCTGACTGAATGTGTTTACAAAATCAATGTAAGCAGATATCTTTACTATACGTGCTTAGCAGAAGACTAAACAAAATTCTACATGTCTTCTTCAATTTCCCCAAAATTTTGTTAAATCTGCAAGTATGTACAATCTAGCTAATTGAAATTAACATTTAGTGTTCATCAGAGCTGTTTCACAGCAGCAAAAACTGAACCAGGGAAATAAAGTTCTAAATGAAGTAGGAAAAAGATAAATACAATCAGAACAGCAGTCTAAATGTATAATATCAACTCTCTGCATTGTGCTGAAAGAAAAAGGATACACCAAGAAAATTTCTATTGATCACTGGTGAGGTGAACACCATCTGCATCTGATTGAATATGGTTTGTATTCTGTTCCCAGTATTAAGGATGGTATTTAACTCAGAACTCCATATTGTAAATATACAGCAGCCATTTTTGTCCTAATTAAGGAATGTCTTAATACACAATATTATCATTTTCTAGAGGATCTTTATACATAAAACTAAAGTACATGATTGATTAAATTAAAGGTTAGTAATGGATAAAAAAATTCATAATTCTTAAGACCTGGTACTATGTATAAAACGAAAAGACCACAAAATTCTACTTCCTAAAGCAGCTAATCTTGCCTGCAAGTTTAGGGTCACAAGCCCATAATATGTGCAAAGAAATGCAATACAAGGAACCATGCAAAAATACAGTAAAATGATACAGGAAAAATGTCAAATCTAGAAAAAAAAAGCTTTTATAAATACATCAAAATCAACTGTATACATAAACTGTAGGTCTAGCATTAGTTGTACCATATAGCAGAGCCAGCACTCTAAGTTCAAGGCTTCCATATCTGCGCAGGTAAGTCATGCCATCTTTGGTTGACTGCAGTACCGGGAGAATGGGAATGAGAGGGAAGGCAAGAGTTCTGAAACATGGTGTCAACTTTCACTTGGCAGCTGGGCCTCAATGTCCACTCTGCATATGGGGCACTTCTTATTGGTAATCAACCATTGGTCAACACACACTTGGTGGAAAAGGTGCATACAGGGAAGGCGTCTATTACAGGCAAAACAAAACAAAAAGCAAAATTAATTTTATGACAACTGCAAGGTGCATTTATTTTCAAACAAATGATACATGCAATAGTGTTTGGAAAATATTAGACATCTTCCTCTTCTGTTAAAAAACAACAACCTATTTAATAAGATTTACATCTACATTACATTAACACTGAGCAATACAATGTATGCTCCCTGTTATACAATCATTACAAAATCATTACATTAGTGAAGTGCTTTAAAAATATATCATTTAATTCTCTCGCAAAAATATTAGAATTCATATCATAAATATATAGCAGCCATGTCATACTAATTAAGGAATGCCTTTTTTGTAAGATTTAAAAAAACCAATTTTTAGAGAGAGAGGAAGAGAGAGATAGAGATAGAAAGAGAAACATCAATGTGAGAGCAAATCATCAATTGGCTGCCTCATGCATAGCCCCTACCACGGATCAAGCCTGCAACCTGAGCATGTGCCCTGACCAGGAATTGAACCAGCAACCCTTCCGTGCATAAGACAACGCCCAGCCAATTGAACCACACCAGCCAGGAAAAGAATGTCTTAATACGCAATATTATTCTCTATCTAGAGGATCTTTATACATTAAACTTAATTACATGATTGATTAAAGGTTAATAATATTGCTACATTGTTTACAACATAATAGTGTTTCATTGGATTGTTACATTTATTTAATACTATGCTACTCCTTTAAAAGTAGGTTAAAGGCCCTGGCTGGTTTGGCTCAGCGACTGGAATGTCGGCCTGCGGTCCGGAGAGACCTGGGTTCGGTTCCCGCTAAGGGCACATACCTCAGTTGCAATTTGTTCTCGGCCCTGGTTGGGTCGTGTGAGTGGCAACCACTCGATGTGTCCCTTTCACATCGATATCTCTCTCTCTCCCCCTCCCACTCTATCTGAACAAAAAATGGAAAAATGTCCTTGGGTGAGAGAAAAAAATAAAAAATAAAATAAATAAAAGTAGGTTAAAAGGAGATGTTTACTTTAATATACTATACTACGGTATTAATTTGAAATTGAGAAATAAAGAAAACTTCTAGCAAATCCAGGGTAACATTAAATCTAAATGTAACAGTGGGATATAAGTTACTGACTTAAGTGTCCATTTCTACTTCCATCGCTGGTAAGAGTTGTCATGTATTTTCAGACTTCCTAATGTTTTGAAAAAATAGTAGTAGTTAAAGAGGTACTCTAAATACTCCTTAAACAGTATTATCAATAATGTATAAACGATTATCTTCCATATTTATAAATCTTCATTGGAAGTACAGTATTCAAAAAACCTTATGTGTGGTATGAAAGACAATTGTTTATATTTTTCTCTCTCAGCCAACTGAAGAAATACGACAAAGTTATCCTTATAAATTAGAGCAACAAAAATGCCATATGGCTCTGTACATATGTTATAGAACCTGTTTCATATGTTACATTAGAAAAAACAAACTAGGAACAAAACTGTGATTTAAGAGATTATAATAAGAAAACAACATTAATATTGTGTTAATATAATAACCTTTTCTAAATCACAAAGTTGCAAGAAGAGAGTAGTCCTACAAGTTGAGGGAAAATTTTAGGACAAAATTCATTTATAAAAGATGCTGTAAAACAAACTGTATGGAGCTAATCTGGATTCCCCCACCCCTTCAGCTTTGGAGAATAAATACATTAATGTAATTGTCTTGGCCTCCAAAGCCTCTCAAATTATCCTTTCTGGAAAATTTGTAGAAGACAATTTTGACCACAAAATTTCCATGGTCAATTCATGGTGTGGCCCCAAAATAGGCATTATCTTTTCCATCCTTTTGTTGGTAATATAAAGACTTTAATCTTTTTATTCTTTCACTCACTATTGAATGCAATTCTAGCCCTGGCCGGTTTGGCTCAGCGGTTAGAGCGTCGGCCTGCGGTCCGGAGAGACCCGGGTTCGGTGTCCGCTAAGGGCATGTACCTTGGTTGCAGTTTGTCCCCGGCCCTGGTTGGTCATGCGGGTGGCAGCCACTTGATGTGTCCCTTTCACATCGATGTTTCCCTTTCTCTCTCTTCCTCTCTCTCCCTCCCACTCTGTACAAAAAATGGAAAAATGTCCTCGGATGAAGATAAAAAAAAAAAAAAAGAATGCAATTCTATATTTTAGAGACTGGTAATGAGATATGCCAAGAGTAATTTTTATTTGGTTTCTAGTCTACTTTTAAATAAACAAAATCTCTTTACAGTTTTGACAATGAATTTTAAATAATTAGCTTCTAGTTACCTCACATCTTCACCTTCCTCTAAAATAGACAAACAGATAGTACATTTTTCCTCTGTGTCCTCCTCAGTCCCTTCTTCCCCATCTTGTTTGCAGTGCAGTTTCCTCTGTGAGAACCAATCAGTTGTTACCTTATTAGTAGAGATGACATTATTGAACAACTGAGTAAAGTCTGTATTTCTTTGAAAAACAAAATAAGACAAAACCACACATTCACCCACAACTTATTTCCCAGGTACAACTGTCTTGAATTAACAGATGAATTAAGTCACAATCATCAACCAAGTGTTCTTTTAAGACCCTTAAATAATCAGCATCAAAAGCAAAATTAAAGGTACCAGAAATTCATTAGTTTGAAATAATTATTTTTAATCCACAATAAGGATAATACACAATATAAACCTTATTTCTGTCCTATCATGAACATAGCTAAATAAAATTTATTTTACTAATGGGTGTTTCAAAAACATCCAAATTAATTAATACAAATTACAGTATTTATTTTAGACAGTTGAAAGGACTTAAATTTAGGGTAATATCCCATTAATACTCTTAGAAAACAGATGAAAAATACAAAAAAACAGTAATTTTCACATTTTATTATTCTTTGTACAGCATAGAATATTGTTGTTTGTTGAAAGAAACTTATTTAATATATCTACTCCATAGCTTCTAGATATAATACTACTTAAGAAACTGGGGTTTGATAAGAATTGTAGATAAACTAAATGTCCATCAAAATAAATGGCTAGATTATGGTTCTGCCATATGATGGAATTCTGTATATGCTATTAAATAAAGAATATGAATGATTTGTGAGTGAAGATGTAGAATGAAAAGAGAATGTGTCAAACTGTGTGCATATCATCCTCTCTGTGTTATTTTTCCAAGTGGAAGGAAAAATATATACATATGCACATTATTAAAATGTATAAAAATATCTGAAAGATTACCTAAGAAATCTTTAAACCATTAATTTTTCTTCTGAGAAAGAAGACTGGGGTCAGTAAGCAAGATAAGAAACTTCAGAGTATATATTTTTTATACTTTGAATTTTTAAAAACTATATGCATATAATTGTTTTAATAATAATGTAGCTGCTATACTGCACAAACTAAAAGAAGGTCCATATTAAATTTTACGCCTTTTAATAATAACGTAGATGTTTCGCAGAATAAATTCTTACCTTTTTGTATTTATGTGGATATGTACATCTTTCAATTGTTCCCTGGGATGCTCCACGATTGACATTTCCTAATCTTTCTTCCAAATGAATCAGTTCCTGAAGGTGAAGAATAACTAGTATTAAAAGTGAGGATGATTATTCCTTGAACAGCACTGTCAATATTGTAAAAAGAATAAAGTTCCTTTTTTTTGCAGTTTGTCCCCGGCTCCAGTTGGGGTTGTGTGGGTGGCAGCCACTTGATGTGTCTCTCTCACGTCGATGTTTTTCTCTCTCTCTCCCTCCCGCTCTATCTGAAGATAAATGCAAAAATGTCCTCGCGTAAGGATATTTAAAAAAAAAAAAAAAAGCTGCCCTGGTTGGTTTGTTGAGCATGCTCCCCAGCACCTTGGTCACTGGTTCAATTCCTGGTCAGGGCACATGCCCAGGCTGAGGGTTCGATCCCCAGCAGGGGACGTGCTAGAGGCAGTGATGGATGTTTCTCTCCCTCTCCTCTGCCTCTCTCAAATCAATAAAAACATTTTTTTAAAAAAAGAGAGAACATTTTTTTTAATGCCATAGATAGTAAGGTAAATGATTGTATATAATTCTTTTCTCAGCCAATTAGAAGTGGTATGGAAAAGTTATCCTTACACAGTATGTAAGTCAGTAAGTGTGTATGCATGTAGAAGGTGGAATCATTGTAGTAAAATAGGGAAAGACATCAAACAATAGTTCTAAGTCCCACTGACTCTTACAAACTGATATGAAGAAACAAAATAAAACTTTAAATCATATTCAAATGATGTTATTCCTGAATATTCAAACAAGGAGATATTTAGTTACTTGCTAAATTGACTTAGGTTTCTTTTCCTCTAGCAATATTTTTATAAAAATTAAGCTTAGTCAAAAGCATTAAGGTTCCCGCCATTCCCCACATTTAATAGTATGGTTTGTTATCTCATATTTATGATAATTTAATAAATTTCTATATTTCTTTATATCAGTTTATTTTCATTTATTCTTCTTTAAATCCTTGGATAACTTTTGACACTAAGATTAATATTGCTTATAAACCTTTCTGTAGTAGTCCCTAGAAGCAATACCAGAAATTCAGACATTTTACTGCCTTCTGATACCCAGCCACGAAGGCAATCCTATATAACTGTGAATACTAATAATACATATATTCTCTCCCTGCATTAAAGATACTGTGGCAAATATCTTCATTAATTTTATTACATACCTCAAAATTGCCCCTGAAAGGACCTCTGAATGATGTTCCATCCAATCCTGATGAAATGTAACGGATGTGGGGGTAGCCTGCCATGTCAGGAACCTATTTTAACGGAAGAGATAAGTTAAACAGTTAAGCACAGGCTCAACTTCTACTGTTAACACTGAATAATTCAGATACTCAATTCTCTTCATTCAGCTACTCACAAAATTCAACTTCTGTCAGTCTATATAATTCCAACTAAGCATTCTGTAACAGGGTTAGGTTCTTTGAATATATTATTTTATACAATAGTTCTTAAAATGTAATTAGATGAAAAAGAAACAGCTGTTCCATAAGATAACAGGTTTCTTAAACTTGATTTATTGTGCACAGAATCCTAAGGAGAAAATACCCAAACTGAAGATTGATAGTAGCCTAAATGTATAAAGAGTAAAATTTTCATAAGATCTTGTCAGTTTGAGAGGGCTCTATTAAACAGTATTAAGAAATAGAAATGTGCACTGGCCGGTTTGGCTCAGCGGTTGAAGCATCGGCCTGTGGACCAGAGAGTCCCGGGTTCGGTTCCCACTAGAAGCATGCACCAAAAAAAAAAAAAAAAAAGGAAATGTGCCCTGGCCTGTGTGGCTCAATGGTTAGAGTGTCAGCCTGCATCCAAGGGTCGTGGGTTTGCTTTCCGGTCAAGGGTACGTACCTAGATTGCAGGTTTGATGTCCAGCCAGGGCACCTGTGGGAGGCAACCAATCACTGTGCCTCTCACATGGATGTTTCTTTCTCTCTCCCCACCATCCCTCCCTTCCACTTTCTCTAAAAATCAATGGAAAACATATCCTAGGGTGAGGATTAAAAATAACAAAATAAAGAAAAGAAACAGTGTTGGCCCCTGAACCAAAGGGTCGCAGGTTCATTCCCAGCCCCAGGCAGGGGGTGTGCAGGAGGCAACCAATTGATGTGTCTGTCTCATATCAATGTTTCTCTCTCTCTCTCTCTCTCTCCCCCTCTCCTTTCCAATCTTAAAAAAAGAAAACAGAAATGCACAAAATTCTCCAACATAACTTCAAGATAAAAGCTTTATTTCTTATCCTCTAAAGTACCCTACTCATTATTATTATTATTATTATTATCCTCAACCAAGGACATGCTTATTGATTTTAGAAAGGGAAGGGAGAGAGAGAGAAAGAGAAACACTGATCAGTTGCCTTCCTGTACTCCCAACCTTTCAGTGCATAAGATGATGCTCCAACCGACTGAACAACCCGGTCAGGGTTCCCCTCTTTTTGTTTGGTTCTGTTAGTGTTTTAACAATGTTTTCTAATTTTTTAAAAAATACGTTTTTATTGATTTTAGAAAGAGAGGAAGGGAGAAGGAAAGAGAGAAAGAAATACTGATGCCCTGACCAGTATGGCTCAGCAGTTAAGAGTGTCACCTGTGGACCAAAGAATCCCGGGTTCAAGGGCACGTACTTGGATTGTGGTTCGTCCCCAGCCCCCGACTGGGGTTGAGCAGGTGGCAACCAATTGATCTCTCTCTCTCTCTCTCTCCCGCCCCCCCCTTCTTCCCCCTCTCCCTCCAGCTTTATCGGAATATTAATGTAAAAATATCCTCGGGTAAGGATTAAAAATAAAAATAGAAACACTGACCACCTGTCTTTAGCACACACCCTACTGGGGATGAAGACCAAAACCTGGGCATGTGCCCTGACAAGGAATTGAATCAGTGACTTCTCAGTGCATGGGATTACACTCAACCACTGAGCCATACTGGCCAGAGCTTGTTTTCTAATTTGTTTTTAATCCTCACCCAAGGATAGTTTTCCATTGATTTTTTTTTTTTTTTTTTTTCACAGAGTAGTAGGAAGGGGGAGAGAGAGAGAAACATCAATGTAAGAGAGAGACATTGACTGGCTGCCTCCTGTATGACCCCTACCTGGGCTGGGGACTGAACCTGCAACCAAGGTATGAGCCCTTGACTGGGAATTGAACCCACGACTCCTCAGTCTGCAGGCTGACGCTTTAACCACTGAGCAAAACCAGCCAGGGCTGTTTTCTAATTTTTTGTTAGGTATAGTCAGTCAATCCTCATTATTTGTGAATATGCCTACTTGACAAAATTTATTTCTAACTCCAAAATCAATACTCATGCTCTTACGATCATTCATGGACGTTCACAAAGCAGCAAAAATGTAAAATGCCTGACATGTGTCCCCAGCTGAGGTGTGGAACAAGGCTCTGTCTTCTTTTTTCAGCTCTTATACTATTTACAAGTATCTTTTCTTGTGGTCTATTTAGTATCATGTTTTTCACATTTTCGTGCTATTGGTGATTTTATTGTTTAAAATGGTCCCTAAGCATAATACTTAAGTGCTGGCTATTGTTCTTAAGTACAAGAAGACTATGATGTGCCTTATTAAGAAAAAAAATGTAGGCAAGCTTTATTCAGTCATGAATTATGGTGGTGTTGTTGGCTGTGAGTTCAATGTTAATTAATCAATACTCTATATCAAATAAAGTGTCTTTAAATAGAAATATACATTAAAACAAGGTTATACATTGATGAGTTTTTGTGACCAGAGGTTTGCTGTAACCTAACCCTGTATCCCCAGAAATAATGGTGCATATTCACTTAGCATTTGCAGCAACATTACAGAACATAACTACTATGAAAAACAGGGGCCAACTGTATTAGGAAAGGGACATTCTGGAATAGAGCACTATTCTTCCATCTTTATATATAATTCTCCAAAACAATTTTTTTTGTATTAAAAAAAAATTTTTTTTGTTATTTATTTATTTATTTTATCCTCACCCGAGGACATTTTTCCATTTTTTGTTCAGACAGAGTGGGAGGGAGAAGAGGAAGAGAGAGAGAGAGAAACATCAATGTGAAAGGGACACATCGAGTGGCTGCCACCCGCACGACCCAGCCAGAGCCGGGGACAAACTGCAACCGAGGTACATGCCCTTAGTGGGAACCAAACCCGGGTCTCTCTGGACCGCAGGCCGACGCTCTAACCGCTGAGCCAAACCGGCCAGGACTTTATTTATTGATTTTAGAGAGAGGAAGGAAGAGATAGAAACAATGATGAGAGAGAACATCAAATGGCCGCCTCCTACATGCCCCCCATTGGGGATCAGGCCTACAACCTGGGCATGTGCCCTGACCGGGAATGGAACCAGCGACCTATTGGTGCATTGGTCGATGCCCAAACACAGAGCCACACTGGCAGGGCTCCAAAACAATTTTTCAATCAGCTTCCACTGAATCACAACATACTTCTAACAGTTCTTACAGTTTTAAAAGACAACTCATATGTAGTAAAGAATTTAAAATAAGCAATAACTTTATCTCCAACTTTTTAAATAATGAAAATCAATATTGAGGCCCTGGCCCAGTAGCTTAGTTGGTTAGAACATCATCTTGATAGGCTAAGGTTATGGTTTGATTTGTGGTCAGGGCACATATAAGGAACAACCAATGAATGCGTCAGTAAGTGGATAAACAGACAGATGTTTCTCTCTCAAATCAATAAATAAAAAAAATTTTTTAAAAATCAATACTGCCCGCCCTGGCCTGTTTGGCTCAGCAGTTAGAGTGTCAGCCTGCAGACCAGAGAGTCCCAGGTTCAGTTCCCACTAAGGGCATGTACCTCGGTTGCAGTTTGTCCCCGACCCTGGTTGGGGTCGTATGGGTGGCGGCCAGTTGATGTGTCCCTCTCACATTGATGTTTCTCTCTCTCTTCCTCCCTCTCCCCCTCCTGTTCTAACTGAAGATGGATGCAAAAATGTCCTCAGGTGAAGATAAAAAAAAACAAAAACAATACTGCCCAGCTCTCAGTAGATAACCCAACCTCCTACACATCTCCAAGGAAAATGAAGAATCAGAAAGAAACTCCTGCCCCCAAAGTACTGAAACCTGCACTTCCCTGTAAACTCCTTGTCTAGCTCTTACGGACGAGCTTCCTCTTTCTCCTGCTCAAAGTTCATCTCTATCACCTGCTCCCATCTTCTGTTTCCCTACCCTATATCTTCAAACAAGTCCTCTCTAATACAGTTGTCTTAAACCTAAAAATACCTTCAAGTATCTCTAAACCTAAGTTACCTCCTTAATCCAAATAATTTTCAACCCTATTTCCCACCTCCCCTTCACAGCCAAGCTTACATTCAGGTAGTTTATATTCAGTGTCTTCACATTTTCACCTTCCTTCCTGGAATCTAAGAGGCACTCCGTTCTCCATCCTTCACCATCACTAAAATCACTCTGACAAAAGTCACCAATTAACTATACCAATGCCAAATAAATGCATTCCACATTTTTCAAACTTAATTTTTTGGGGATGAGACCCTACTGACCATATTATTTTGACATTATTCTAACTTTGATTCTCCTCAACTTTTCTAGTCATTTCTTAAAATCCTGTTTCAAGTACAGTATCATAATTCTCCAAGGTTTTATCAATCTCTTCTCAGGCTACACATTTTTCCTGGAAATCCCATCCTCTTCCATGGATTCACATATATTATGAAAGATACGTGACACATATATATTCTGTACGGGCAGAGCACAACTTCCCTAACTCAGGTATGTCTATGGTTTGGAAATCTAGACATTCCACCTTAATACACACAGTTATCTCAGATTCAATACATCCAAAATCTAACTTACCTAACCCCTTCCTTAAACCCTCATCTAATATTCTCCAACTTAATGAATGTGGGTACCACTATATACCTAATAACCCATGCTAGAAATTCGGAAGTCATCCTATATTATTATTCAAATGTTTCCTATCATTTTTATGGCAACTGCCAATGTTCAGGGATTCATCAACTTTACTTCTTCTCCTATGAAGTCTTAACTAGTTCCTCCCACCCTGAAATCTATTTTCCACACAACTGAGGAGGTGGTCTTTCTAACTACAGGTTGATCAAACCACTCTACAACATAAGACATTCAAGACGTTCCCTTTTCAGTGGTTGATGAGTCCCAGGTTCTTGGCAGGGCAGTGTTATTTCATATGGCTAAGTTATCCTCACCCTCAAGGACCAGAAATTCCAACTTACTTGGAGTCGCTAGTACTTTTGCTATTTGACAGCTCTTTACATGCTGTGGCCCACTGTAAAAGCAGCATTCTCAATTCTAAAGCCTGCTTAGAAGTCATATGTATAATAAAGCATATGGGATACCTTCCCTGCAGAGTTTCCTCCTGCACAAGACTAAACTACTCTCTTCTCTGTACTACTTTTATAACTAGGATGTATTATGAACAGCAAACTCAGTAAATGTTTGCTGAATTTGTTCTTTAGACCTCAAAATGGTATGAACAAAATCTGAATCTCTTCAGATTAGATACAGAGAATTAATATAGTCCTTCTGCAGATAAGAGAATCAAGTACAAATGCATGAATACAGACGGAATGCCACTATGAAAAAATAAATCACTGTCCTAGTGACAATGGATCAAGAGTTTCATCTTTGTATAAAAAAAGTTGCCATTTAATATCTTTTTAAATTTTTTTTTAAATCCTCACCCAAGTATATTTTTTTCCATTGATTTTTAGAAAGTAGAAGGTAGGAAGGGAAGGGAGAGAGAGAAAAAGAGAGTAACATCAATGTGAGAGAGACACATCAACTGGCTGCCTCCTGCATGCTCCCCAACGGGGATGGGGATTGAATCTGCAACCAAGGTAGGTATGTGCCCTTCACTGGGAATCAAACCCTCAACCCTTTGGTCTGAGGCCTGATGTTCTAACCACTGATCGCACCAGCCAAGCTCTAATACCTTTTATAGCACATTTTCCTCAAAAAATTCTCAAATTCTATTAAGACACCTACAACAACTAATTCATTAAAACATATTTCCAATAAAATATTTAACTTAGAAAAAAAGAAATATTTTAAAAGGAGAATTATGTCAGAATTTGGGAAATTTTCTATTTTACCATTAAAGGAAGTGCTCCTAATTGTAAATGATGAAGTCGAGGTGGTGCATGGTAATGGGCCAAGTGAGGATGCAATGCTCCAGGTGTATAAGTAGCTGCAGTCACTCCAGCTTCAATTCCCAGTTCCCTGACAAAGGATGAGAACAACTTATCTTTTAGACATCCTTACAGTGCCTTTATTATCAACAAAAACAAGGGAGTATGCTTACATTTTGGAAAGTAATCTGAAGTTTCATAATGTACATAAGCTGAGAAAAAGATAATTTAGCTCAAAAGATTTAACTAATAATTTCAAATCCACTGCAGAAGTTAAAACCCTAATATTCAATTTTGTGACCATGAGGCCCAAACCAATTTTAAATAGTTTCACATGTTACAAAAGAAATAGAGATGACCTTTGAACAACATGGGTTTGAACTGCGTGGGCCCACACGCCTATCTTGTTCAAGGGTCAATTGTACAACAAATGGTGCCTAAGGTTCCTTCAATCTAAAAGTCTGACAACTCTAGTTGAGGAGCACACAAAACAGTTAACTTTTTTAGTTCACATGAATGGTAGAGATGCTCCCATGGCTTTTGTTCGTTGGGTAGTGTCTCTGGGTGATTGACATCAAAGATAATCTGAACAGCAAACACTTCTATACCTTATAAAGCAAGGGTACACAAAATTTTAGAAACAGTAAAATTGGTAAATGACAAATCTCAACTTATTCTCATTTTATATTTTGCCTCAAAAAGTCATTGTGGGTCAAGATCTCAATTGACTGCCTTAAGACAATGGATTCAGAAAGAAAATGAATACAAATCTGCTTCCATTTCTCTAGGAAAAGACAAGAAGCCAAGGAAGCTAGACTTCCCTTGTCAATAGCAGGAATTAAGGGTAGTAAAGCAAATTTGTGCACAAAGGTAGATAAAGAGGTTGTGAAAAGTAGGATTTATTTAGGGAGTTAAGTTTGATGGTAGACACCCTCAAAAAACAACAACAAAATAAGCTCTACTCAAGTTTGATGTGGTTTCCTCACCCAGAACTCAAGTTCCTACTCTTTCATCTCCAGGTGTCTTTAACTCACCCATAGTCAGTGCCTCAAAGCTAAGCTGCAATTCTGTTTCTCCACATCATCCTTTTGTATGGCATTCCACTATAAAGCATCTCTTCCAGCAGTTTTACCACAAGCTGCTGAGCAGAACTTTAAAATAAACAAGATACTGACCAGGCGGATCTCTCTGGAGCCTGTCGAGGATGTGAGGACATAGTCTGAGGCACATGAATATGATGCCCATGACCATAGTTTGGGTGCATCCTATGTGGGTGAGGTGGGGGGCGTTCATGTGCCCGCCTGGAAACACAGAACACAAAAAGACCACTGGAAATAATTGAATAATTGGGTTATTTCTTAATGTAGAAAACAATCTGGTATTAATAGTACAAACATCTATAGATTAGTCATAAAAATTAACTATAACACAATAAATTACAAAAATGTAACATAAAATGATTAATAATCCAGAAGTCATAAACCACAAAATTCTCACTGCCCATTTATTACAATGCCTCTATTTCAAATATCATCCAAGAAAAAAAGGCAATTTTAACATTATCTTGTATACCTTCTTTACAGTGGATATTTTAAATAGAATATTAGAAATTGAATAAAAATAAAATTAAAAAAATTAAATGCCCCAGCAAATGCTGCAGGCACAAAGAATTTATTTTATGTAAACATATATGACAAGAAAATGGAAGCTTTTTTGTTTGCTTCACTTTTATATTATAACAACATTCATTCATTTTAATGGATAAAACTTTTAGGAGAAAAACATTTTCCCTTGTTCTTTTTTTTCCCCCAAACATATGTCAAGTATATGTTAACATCGTCTGAGTTAACATCTGAGAAAGTATTATCAGCTCCATTCACACTTTTTATTCTACATCCCAGCTTAGATAACGTTCTAGTCTTATATCAGTCAAATTTACAAATGTAAATGGTCATAAAGTTCTAAATATTATTATTATTTATCCTCACACAAGGATATTTTTCTTACTTATTTTTTTAAAAAGTTCCAGGCAGTAATTTTTAGTATAGTTCTTATTTTCTATTAGTTTCTAACACATTTACAGATTTTACATCTTTTTTTGATTTGAGAGAGAGAAAAAAGAGAGAGAGAGAGAAAGAGACATCGATTTGTTGTTCCACTTGTTTATCCATTCATTGGTTAATTCTTGTTAAATCTGACCATGGATTGAACCTGTATATTGGGATGAATCTCTAACCAAGTGAGCTACCCAGCCACGGTTCAGTTTTTGCAACTTTAATGATTTGAAAAAGTAATTTTATAGATACTAGAAGATAGAAATGTTAAAATAACTACTTTCGATATAAAACATTACTATATTAGAATGGTAATAGCAGCCAGAGATTCTGGATAGAATCTTAAATTACATAACTAAAGCAAAAAGTTACACAACAGCTAGATCATTAATTAGATCAAGAATTTTACAAGCACATTCTGTAAGTACCAAGAAGTACACATTGTTGGCTCTAAAGGCCACCTGGTCTCTGTTGCAACTATTCAACTTAGTCTTTATAATGTGAAAAAAGCCATAGACAATACATTAATGAATAAGTGTAGCTGTTTTCCTATAAAACTTTATTTACAAAAGAGGTAGACAGTATTAGACCAACATAGTTTACTGCCCTGAATTAGAAAATCAGATCCTGAATTTTCAAAAGAAAACAAAAAGTTCTATTATAGTCTTTTCATAATGTTCAGGGAGTATGATATTTTAATATTTAAATTTATAAGTAAAAACTAAAGAAGACTATTTTTTTTAATACCAGTTGTTGAACATGCTACTAATACTCTTCTTTCCTCTGGTTGGTAACATATAATAAATCAAATTACATCTACAATAACTTTATATCTTGTTCCTCAGGACCATTAATTCTAACATTTATCTTTACTATGGAATACTAAAGAAACAAAGATGGGATTGGTTTGCAAAAATAAATGACCCTGTATTCTTTCCTGAAAATGGTTTGATTTCACTAAATAACCTGAAATACAATTGTTTGTCAACACCTACAACTCAGGATAGGAGGAAAATTCTGGTTAGTCAAGAATTAACTTCCTAGTAAACTGAGGATTTAATATAGTTCCATCACTTCTACAGATTGTATAGTTTTAAAGACCAGTGGAAATAGAAGGAAAAGAAGTAAAGCATGGTTATCTTTTTAAAAACATAAAACCTACGTTGGATGCTGCATCATCCTCCTCCTCTGAACTTCCATCCTTTGCATCACTTCATGAGGATGCAGTCTCTGTGCTGGAGGTGCTGTGGCTGGAATATGGTGTGAAATTGGCTGGTGTGAGGGAGGAAGATGTTGAGGGATTGGTGCAGCTGTACTGGCTAAATGAGTTGGGGGTGGGGCTGCCACCGGGTGAGATGTTGCATGAGAAGACATCTGAGAATGGAAAGCATGTACAGGATGAGGAATAACATAATCCACTTGAGGTGGAGGCTGAGTCTGAGGAGGAGGGTTTCCATGAGCGTGGGGGCAGGCAGAGGCTTGATGATGAAGTGGTCTTGTCAAAGAAGCATCTGTAAAGAAAAACACAGGCACCATGCAGTTGAGCATATTTTGCTACTATACATTCCTATTGGATTTTATAAACATATTAGCACATATTTAATTTTATGAATACTTTATCAAGTCTGTTCAATTTCACTCTGCATCCTTTCTTTGAATAATCTTAGATATCATCTCATGTTAACATGTCTTTTTTTAATCTTTTGTTTTGTTAATTCTCACCTAGGATATTTTTCTACTGCTTTTTAGATAGAGTAGAAGGGGGGGGGGGACATAAATGTGAGAGAGGCACATCCATTGGTTGCCTCCTGGACAACCCCAACCAGGGCCGGGGATAGAACCTGCAAACTAGGTATGTATTCTTGACTGGTAATTGAACCCACAACCCTTTAGTCTGCGGGCTTATACTCTAACCACTGAGCCAAACCAGCCAGGGTACAATGTGTATCTTTACTTTATTCACAGCCTCACAGCAACTTTACATTCTATTATAGGAATGTACCAAGCATTTATTGAAGAAATTGCCCTTGGTAAAAATTAAAAGCTAGGGCCCTGGCCGGTTTGGCTCAGCGGTTAGAGCATTGGCCTGCGGTCCCGAGAGACCCGGGTTCGGTTCCCGATAAGGGCATGTACCTCAGTTGCAGTTTGTCCCCGGCCCTGGTTGGGTTGTGCGGGTGGCAACTACTCGATGTGTCCCTTTCACATTGATGTTTCTCTCTCTCTCTCTCTCTCTCTCTCTCTCTCTCTCTCTCTCTCTCCCTCTCCCTCTCCCTCTCCCTCTCCCTCTCCCTCCCTCCCTCCCACTCTATCTGAACAAAATATCCAAAAATGTCCTCGGGTAAGGATGAAAAAAAAAAAAAATTAAAAGCTAGGAAGAAATCTGAGTAAACCATGAACTTTAGTTAGTACCAATGTATCAAAAGGAATAATGTATCAATGTTGGTTAATTAATTTCAACAAATACTATAATAGTGTAAGATATTAACAATAGGGGAAACTAGATGTTTTTTGCTTTTGTGTAGTAAAATGTATAAATTATATATTTCCAAATATATAATCTTGTTTTCCTTTATGATTTACTGGTCATAGGGCATGAGAGAGCAGAAAGGAACTTGCGAGTCCTATCAGACAAGACTGCAAAGATGTTCTTTAATTGCTGCTCTTCTCTTTCCCTGCCCCATGTCATTTTTCCTGTGCTACATTAAGTCAATGAAGGAGACATATTTGCTAGGAACATGCCATGGAAATCAGCCCTTCATAAAGATAATTTCCCCCATTTCTTCACTCCAAATCTTTGTGTCTCGAGTGACTGGTAAAGGTCCTTCTGAAGAAAATGTATGTCTCTTACTCTAAGAGATATACATCAGTTTGAGATCTAAAAATGTGCTTGTCTCCTCCTTAGATTTCAGTCTGAATTTCATTTTAGTTGGAAGATATTCTCAGTAGTCTGGTATGAAGATATGGCCATTCTGTAGTTTAATTATAGAAGAACTTCCTTCAATTTTTAATTCTTTTGATTCAGTCAGCAGGTAACCACAAACACATTAAGCCACATTTTCCAAGGAAACTTTGCTAACATATATTTAAACAAAACTTTCTCTAGCTCAAATGGATTGTAAGACAAATTTTTAAACTGGTTTTTTTTTTGTTTGTTTTTTTTTATCCTCACCCGAGGATATTTTTCCATTTTTTGTACAGATAGAGTGGGAGGGAGAGAGAGGAAGGGAGAGAGAGAGAGAAACATCGATGTGAAGGGACACATCGAGTGGCTGCCACCCGCACGACCAACCAGGGCCGGGGACAAACTGCAACCGAAGTACGTGCCCTTAGCGGGAACCGAACCCGGGTCTCTCCAGACTGCAGGCCGACGCTCTAACCGCTGAGCCAAACTGGCCAGGGCTGTTTTTTTTTTTAAGTTATGTTTTCAAATCAGTGCTTTAAGAAGTCACAAAGCAGCCCTGACCGGTTTCGGCCTGCGGTCCAGAGAGACCCGGGTTCGGTTCCCGCTAAGGGCACGTACCTTGGTTGCAGTTTGTCCCCAGCCCTGGTTGGGTCGTGTGGGTGGCAACCACTCGATGTGTCGCTTTCACGTCGATGTTTCTCTCTCGCTCTCTCCCTCTCACTCTATCTGAACAAAATATCGAAAAATGTCCTCGGGTGAGGATAAAAAAAAAAAAAAAAGAAGTCACAAAGCTCAGTACTTTTTGGTCGTTAAAAAAAAAAGTCACTATGTTTTATCATTGTTAAATTTATAGCTTTTTTCCAGTTTCATTTCAAAGTTTTCTATTTCTATAATTGTTATGCAAAAACTAACATTCATGGATATTACAAAACTTTTAAGTTTTGTTTCAGAATGGATTTATTTAGGTTGAACTCTTCAACAATCATTTTATTTCCAGCTTTATTGAGGTATAATTAACAAATACAATTGTATATATTTAACGTGTACAATGATTTGACATATGTATATTCTGTGAAATAATTATAACAATCAGGTTAATTAACACAACCATCAATTCACATAGCTACCATCTTTTTGTGTGTAGTGAGAATATAAGCAATCATTATAATCACTGTTCATATAAACAAAACAGATTGCTAGCCACTGTGGAAAAATGCCATTCTGCATTCCCATAAATCATTTCCCTTCCTTCTTGCCAGTTTAAAAAAAAGTTCTTGATATTGCTTCCTAAAAGTTCAATATGTCACTTTGACCCAGCATCTCACTCCTAGGAAGTAATCCTTTAAATATATTCAAAAACTACAAACAATTTAAATGTCCATCAACAAAGGAACTAATAATGGAATACTATAAAGGTATTAAAAACAATGAGCTAGATGTTTATGTGCTAATATGGAAAAAAATCTTGAGCCACTGATAAATTTTAAAATCATCAAAAAGCAGGAGGCAAATAATGTTTAATATGATCCCATTTTAAATATATATATATATTTTGTAGGTTCAAATAAAATTTCTAAAAGGTTTTATAATAATCTAAACAGTTGTTACCTCTGAGGCATTAAGATTAGTGGGATGGGGGGGAAAGGGGCTTTTAACTTCTCATTTTATATCATTCTGCAGTTTAAACTTCTTAGGATGTACACAAGTTATTTTTATTATAAAATAAGTTTGTCTAGTTCTTTGTAAGGACATTTAAAAAGGACTGAATTCACTATAAATTGCCTCAGTATATTAATTTTAAAAGGGAGGGGCAGTAAAACCACACATTTTGAATATCTAATAAAAAATGATCAATGAAGATAAATATCAACAACTATTAAAACCAGCCTATATAATATCATATCTGTGTTCATACACAGAATTGGCCCAATTTGCAAAAACTATTTCAAAACCTGTTTTCTAGCTCACACTTCAAATTTTAAGTTGCATTACTATAAAGGTAAATGATATGTCACCACCTTTCACTGTTCAAATTCTGGTTTGACTCTAATTATATCCGTAGGATACAGACTTAAAAAATTAGAGGAATGAAAGAAGAAATCTAAGGAGATATATAACTAAAAATTATCCCTTGCATGTAATCAGAACAAAAGCCTGGTTTATTCCTGGCATGAATTTTCAGTTTTTAAATCAAAGTATTTATTAAGTTTCCATTTGATAAGTCTATGATTTAACAAAGTAGTAAATATATATCACATAGCCTAAAGTTGTTTTCCATTTCTTGTTATCTCATAAATTTCAATTTCTTTAGAAAAGTCATGTCTGATTCTATTTTAATTGCCTGCATCAAATGAGTATGGAAACCTTTTTTGTAATTGGTACAAATCTGACAAGGAATTCTAATGCCTTAGTTAAGCTTCAAAATTCTTATTCAAAACTTACTTTCCTGTATCTAAAAGCAACTACTAACCTTTCAAATTTCCATTACTCCTAAAGGATAAATCTAAATTCCCTAAAACTTCCTTTTATAGGAATCTAATGTCATTAAATGTACTTCAATTTCATAGATATTAAAATGTAAAATAAAATACGATACTTTTTATTTTCCTGACCCTTTTAAACCACATCTGACCTTTTGCCTTAGAATACTGTTTTGAGGATGCGGGGGTGAAGGGAAGATGAAATGGAAAAAATACATACACCCCAGTCTTAGGCCAAGAAAATACTAAAAATCTATAAATTATGATTATTGAAAGGTAATTTCATAGAAGAATACAAATGCTTCATTTATATGCCCCTAAGGTTTTTGCCTGTTAAATTTATACTTACAAGGAGGTGGCATATAATGTCGACATGATGAGAGGGAGGCTTGTGCAGGGGGCTGGGGCTGGGGCTGCGCAACCATGCTTGATCCATAACCATCGAGTGATAATGGCTGACTTGGGGCGGCGGCAGCAGCGGCAGCAGCAGCAGCGGCAGCGGCAGCGGCAGCAGCAGCAGCCTGATGGCCAAAGATTGCAGCTCGGGAAGAAGAAACAGGGCAGCAGGGGTCAAATGCAGATGCTCCGTGAAAACCAGCACTTCCATGACTTCTGATACCACTGCTCAGGTCTACTGGCAAAGCCTGCTGTATAAAGAGGAACTGTATTTTATCTTCTAAAGTTTGGTCAAAACACTGTTTCATGTTATGTTATAAAAGTACTCTTAATGTAATCTAGAAAATAGAATCTTGGAATTAAAAAATTGAAAATGATAAAACTTTTAGTGTGGAGACCTACTGAACACCAAGAAAATACTATGTGTATCTTGAATATAGTGATTATATACTTAAAATCTATAATCAATTTTTAAAAATCAAGCATAAGATCATGCTACAAGATGAACAAAAGTTAATTATTATTTTAAAGTCTATTTCTCTTTCATTATCTAGATTTTAGAAAGACAGAAAACATTTCAATCATACTCCCATATTTTCCTTTATCCCAAAATTTTGATTAGTAATTTAGGACTCCTTTGAAAAACATATAATCACATTACTGAAAACATTAAGGTTCCAGATAAAAACTTGATTGTCCTAATTCTAAACTGTATATAGCAAGTATTCAATTGAATCTCTACTAGTGCAAACATTATCCAAGATAACAAATGGCATAAAATTCCTTTTATTAGAAACATGACTTCAGGGAAGGTCCATTTACTAAGTTGGAAAATAAACCAATCTGTAATTAAGTTTTTTCCCCAAAAGCTTTGAAAAGTCTTAAGTAAAACACTTTATCTTCTACTCTAGAGCAGATTACAGAAACAGAATTGCTTCTTTGTATTCTCATTTGCTTAGTGTTCACCATAGCTGCAATTTTAAAAATGTGATTAAAGAATATAAGATTTGGCATTATATATGGAATTATATACAGGAACTGTTCGATACTGGAAGCTGAGGGGCTGGAGATAAAGAAGGTGAGGGTAATATTAGAGCCAAGTTACCCAAGGGTCCAGTGAGGAACCACAGTGGTCTTTGTACTTTCAGTGAGCTCCAGGCTCAGGGGACAACAGAAACAAAAGAAACTGTGGGTACCAAAAGGGAAGAAGGAGGATGGTACAGGAGAAGCTGTGGGATGGTGAAAAGGAAGAGGGCCTTTCTTTTTCTATATTGTGTGTCTACCAAATTAAGTTAATGCCTAGCCTCTTTCTTTTAAATTGGCAAGTACAATGTAAGTCCTCAATTTAAGTAAATGAAGTTTAAGAAAAATATTGTGAGGTCATGAGTTTTTATTTATGGTTCAAATCCTTTCCCTATTTTCCTATTTAGGCTAAAATTTGGCAAATGCACTGGAGTATCAACATACTATGAAGGTGAGCAAATTTCCTATCTTCTTCTCCAGTCATTGATTAAGAACACTCCCAGAGAGTGAGAAAAGTAGGGTGAAGGTCCTCCTGGAAGGAACCGAAGGGAAAGTTAAAAATAAAGAATAAAAAGAAAAGGGGAAAAACCAACAAAAGAACACTCTTTTTCACAATTTCAACAGTTCATTCAATTCTATTCTAGAAGGAAAAGAAGGGTAAGCAAGATGGGTACAAAAATGGCAAATATTACTTTACATAGATTATAAGTAATGCATAACACTAAACTATTCTCTCCAAAGAGAAAGAAGCTTCACACAAAGGAGTAAGTATTAAGGGCTACAGAGTTAAGTGACTACTGCAACTTCTTTGTTGTCAGGCCTAATACTTCCCAGTTTTTCTCTGCCTATCCACCATCTGACACTCAATCATAAGATACTACACATTCACAAATCCTCAGGTCAGTTTGCAACACTCACTCCTCACTCCCTGCTGTGCCCACATAGGTCTCAATTGGAGGTTATCTCATGAGCATGTGCCTAATTTCAAAGTACTCCAAATGTCTGTATGAGTCTCAACGGTTCATATCTTCAAAACCGAACTCCTGTTCTCCCTCATAGCCACTATCACCACTGAATGCCTGATATTTTCCTCAAGTTTTGTATGCAGGCCAAATACCTATGCTTAGAGATAGAATAGGTTACATTAATTTTACACTGAACAGAAATGTAAAAGAGACTCTACCTATAATTAAGTCAGTCAGGTTGAGAGAAAATGTGCCATATACAACTGATCTCTCAAACCAGCTATATATTATTACTTCAACAACAATATTTTATGAACAAAAGGTCCACCTTTTGGCAGCTCTTGAATGAATGTGGGAGAAGTTGGTAGATTCACTTCTTCACTATTTTCCTGCTATAATTATAAACCCTTCTTTACCCCAAATTTCTAGTAAAAGGAAATTCTGCTTTTAAGCAGGGCATTTCATTCAGTCCACTGAAAAGTGTTTTTTTTTTATCCTCACCCGAGGACATTTTTTTGCATTTATCTTCAGATAGAGAAGGAGGGAGAGAGGGGAGAAGAAGAGAGAGAAAAATCAATGTGAGAGAGACACATCGACTGGTTGCCACCCACACAACCCCAACAAGGGCTGGGGACAAGCTGCAACCAAGGTACGTGCCCTTAGCAGAAAACAAACCTGGGACTCTCTGGTCCGTGGGCCGATGCTCTAACAGCTGAGCCAGACCAGCCAGGGCCAGTCCACTGAAAAATTTACTTTTGCTTCCACATTCCCAAGAAGTAAACAGGTCTAGATGATCAGTAGGTGTTAATACTTAGAACTGTTACCTAAACCAAAACATTATCTAAAATCTCTTTAATCATATTTCCCACTAAACTTTTTAACATTTCCTCTTGATAACAGCAGCTAGTTGTTTTTTTTTTTTAAGGAAATGCTCCTCTTTCTTAATTATACTTTAATTTGTCAGATCCCGAAGAGATAATGATCAAAATTTAAAGATGAAACAAGTACTTTAGGAATGGTCAAGGGACACAAAAAAAACAGTTGCTCTACATTTTCTTTCCTTTTTTTTTTTTTTTGTTATTGACTGTACTGGGGTGACATTGGTTAATAAAATTATATAGGTTTCAGGTATACAGTTCTATAATACATCATCTGTTATTATACATGTGTCCAATGCCCCAAGTCAAGTCTCCATTTATCTTCCCTTGACCCTCTTCTACCTCTCCCCACCCCTCTTTCCCTCTGGGAATCACTATACTGTTGTCTGTGTCTATGAGGTTTTCTTTCTTTCTTTTTTGCTTAATCCCTTCATCTTTTTCTTTTTTGACTTTTTTCTAACATATAGGTCAGTTACCATTTTACTTTGAAATTACATGTTTCATTTTTTAAAGTATGCACCACCCAGGTTTATATTATAATTATATACAGAGACAAAACAGTAAAAGTTAAAATAGCATATAAAACTTGACTTCATTAACTCCATGTGACCACCAATACTAATTTAGTATTACAGTATATGACATGTTGAGCATTCACTATTATCAACTAATTTACTAAATGATAATTTTTTGCTGATATTTCAATTCCCCATTAACTAAAAATCTCATCTGCTCCTAAGAAACTATGTCACAGGTTTGCATCTGAGAAGGTTATTTATGTCTAGAGATGAATGGAGATTATAGGAAACTCCAGAATGGGAGGTGGAGGAGTAAAAACTAGGAGAAATTCCCAATTTCTCATGAAGTAGGTTGACAATGCAGTTTCAACACTTTGTTTGAAATACAATCCCAAAGATCAGATTCACCTGTATTTAACAAAAAACACCAAAACCATTCCAGAATAAGAAATAGTATCATTTCTGATTTTCTACATCCCTGCCCCCATTACTGCAATAATTGCCATAAAAAAAAACTTAAGAGACTTAATAAAAATTTTTTAAAAATCACAGACCACTAAATTAGGCCACTTTTGTATGGTCAATAGAAAAATTACTTATTTAGTATATAAAATTTATCATTAGGTTTTTTGCTTCTCCTGAAAAAACAACAAAATACTATTTTTTAAATTTAAGAAAAGAAAGAAAAAGTCATCAAATTCCACATACCTGGTCATGGTAGCTGGTACCAGAACTAGTATTTGCTCCACAAGGTGCTGGTACTTGTGGAGGTCTTTCCACAGGGCACGTAGGATCACTATAGGAGGGAGAAACTGGGACAGTTGGGTGGGGAGTATGATGGTGGTGGTGGTGATGTTGAAAATGGTGGCCATGCTGCTGAAAGCAACTTGTGTGTGGATGTCCTAATGCATGGTGATTCTGTGACGACCCTCCACATGGCGAGTGCTGGGGACAGCAGGAAGGTAACCTTGGCATTGCAGGAGGGCCATTTTCCGTTACAGCACTAGATGCAGTTCTCCTCAAGTCATCTTGTAACAGAAAAAAATGCATACCACAATCAAATGATCAAATATCACTGTAAAAAATAGGTACTGTGTATAAATAATAAAGAATTAAGAAATGTTTAGTAAATTCAAATCTCTATAAATAAGGACATGATAGTGCCACAGTCTTAACATACATATCATATAATTTTGGGCAGTGTCTTCCCTGGGATTTTCCTGAAAGCCTAAATTCTTCAGAAGGCTCATGTTTACCATGATGTTTAAACATGGCAATAGATCTTTTCCTAGGTCATAACAAATGATTAGTTTTAAACTGCATTTTTAAAATTCTAAAATATCATGTGAGTCCTTCCATTACATACAACAAAGCAAAGATTCTACTCCTGAGCTCCATGAAATCCTGATACCACACTACATAATGCAGACTAGTATGTACTTCTTAAAACCTCATCATTTTAAGAAATAATCACCAAATGCAGAGCATAACTGGCTAAGTCTCACTAACCTCCAACATCTTTCCCCTTCCTCTGGCCTCTAAACTCAGATCTAACAGAATATAAGAAATAATAAGACTATAATATGAGGAAAATTATAGGTGTCTTATAATAATCTAGTGATTTAGTGTTGAACAGTGAGGTAGGGGAAAGCATGGAGTCAAATAGGCCTGAGTTTTAATCCTGAGATTGTCTAATCCTTAACAATTCAATCTTGGTGAGCAATTTGACCTTAGGAAAGTTCATTAATCTTTCTCACCTATTAAATGCAGCAATAACTGCCTTGTAGGGTTGTTGTTAGCAACGATACTCTTCCAGGTTTAAAACATCCGAGTCCTGCATTATACTCTCTGTCACATGCCCAGAGTTATTCTGAAGGTATGTTCTTCCATGCCAGAAGAACTGCAAAAGTGCCCCCAGAAGGTCTATCCCAGTGTTTCAAAGTCATCTAAAAGACAGCATCCTCTCCTCAAACTACATATAATGTGGATCTGATATAAACCAGATAAATATGGAGATACCATTTTTTACTTAAAAATATATAAATTAGAAGAGTGAAGAACCCAGAGTCCTGTCTTTTCCTCCTGCATCACCCATGTGACCCGAGGCATCTCCTCAGAATCCTTAGGATTCTGGAGTACTACTATTCTAGCCTTATTTCTAGAGTAACTGATACCAGGAATAATCTCCTATTTGATTCACAGTACCTAGCTAGTCTCTTCTGGGTCAATGTACCAATTAGGAATCTTCTGGTTACTAACAGGTAATACAAAAATCCAAGCAAAAGTAGCCAAAACAATAAAGGGAATTTACAGGTTCACATAAATGAATCTGGGTGGTGGTGCTTCAGGCTCTGGTTGATAGGTCTGATTGCAGCAAACCTCCCTGATTCTCCTGGGTCTGCCCTCCCATACATGTCCTATCCTGCCTTTGCTGATTCTCTTCTGGGCGGCGGGGTGGGTGTGTGTGTGTTTGTGTCTATGATCTAAATCCTGTTATGCAGTATCTGTGAATTGGTTTTTTTCCCCAGCTCCTAGTCTAGCCTATTTAAACTAATTTCCTGAACCCTTTTGTAAAGGTTCTTAACCTAGCAACTAGAATTCAGGAGTCTGAAAACTTGGATAGAAAAAACATTGTAAGTTTTTACTAGTCTCTAATTGCCTACTGGGTTAGTACTACCTTGTTAGCATCAGTTGAGAGGTTAAATATTATAAGCAATTTTAACAAAAAACTATAAAAATTGACAAGGTGTTTACTTTTAAAACATAAATTACAGCACTTCAAAAGCAGTCCTATAACTACGTCACTTTCATTCATTTGCATTTCAAATTTCTTGAAGAACCTGAACAGAGTTACAACCAACATATCAGGAACTAATTATGATCAACAGCATATCTTAGCTATGCTAAATCAAACATTAAGTACCTATTTTCTACACACTGTAGTATCTGTAGCAGTAACTCATTATTACAGTGTAGCTTTACTTCCTGCAACATTTTCAGGGTTTCATCTCGGCACCCAGATCAAAGTGTCGTACAACTGAATGTCATTTATTGTGTTAGTTCAGAAAAAAAAAAAAAAAAAAGACTGACAATCTCTGGGACACTAAATCCATTCAATGGATGAACTAAAATGACCTTCCAGGTTCCTTACAACTCTGATACTTTAATTTTACAAATCCAATTCTTTGAAAATTATGTGTCACTCTAAGGCTCAAGAGATGAGTATGTAACCAGAGCAAGATCTACGGATTGCTATAACTGTAACTAAAGTGATAGACATAACACTTACCTGTTCAGAAAGAATGTACACCTTCTCTGTCTTTATATATTTCAAAAATAAAACTCAAAGTGAAAGAAAAGGAGCACATATAATACATTTAAGACTGATCACATATTTAAAGGGTCAGATCATAAACAGTGTGGCCTCAAGAAGACTGACCTTATAGCTCTACTTCTTAGGGTACAGTTTTGGCCTCCAATTAAACTACTTTCTTGCAGTTCAGAACCTCTTTGCTGCTCAAACAGGATAGCAACTCAAGTACAGACAACTGATTCTCCTCTTGTTCAAGAGTTATTGACCAGTCCTGGCCAGGTAGCTCAGTTGGTTAGAGCATCGTCCCAATACGCCAAGGTTGCAGATTTGATCTCCAGTCAGGGTACGTACAAGAATCAACCAATGAATGCATAAATAAGTAGAACAACAAATCAATGTTTCTCTCTGTCTCTCTACTCCTTCTTCCTCTCTCTCTAAAATTAATAAATAAAATTTTTAAAAATGTTACTGACCAAAGAAAACTGCCATAAATTAGAAGTGAAATACAGAAATATCTGATCAAGTAAATAAAACACATTATTAAAATTATCCAACAGAGTGTCCACAAAAAATGAGACAATCACAAACTTGCACCAGAGAAATTAACTCCACAGACCAGTGACATCAAGATGGTTAAAGTCCCTTCACTGTAATTCTAGGAGAATTACTGAGATGTACTCATGCATTTATCCATTCACATGGCAAGTCTTATACGCAGTAATGATATGGTAAAGAGTTTACAAAAGGCACTAGAAAATACAATGGTGAAAATGAAGTCCTGGTCTTTAAAATAACTTATGATGTTGTCTGCCTTTGTTGTTTTATCTCTAGAAACTAAACCAGAAACATGTCTACACAATATAGGTGGCTTAATAAACACCTGCTAAATTTAAGTTGACTTCACGAGGGAAGATATTCATGCATGCATGCAGCTAAGTCTCAAGAAAAGATAGACCTCATCTTTGGTCTTTAAGTAGCTTATACGATATAAATCAATCTGTATTATAACTGAAGCTCTGAGTTACAGTTTGGAAAGAGAGAGAGACAAATATCAATTCATTGTTCCACGTATTTATGCATTCATTGGTTGCTTCTTATATTTGCCCTGATCAGAGATTGAACCTGCAACCTTGGCTTATTGGACAACACTCTAAATCAACTGAGCTACCCGGCCAGGGCTTTAACCTCCATTTATTTGTTTATTTACTTTCCCCTGGAGGAATAAACACCGTAAGAAGGATAAGAGAATTTTGGAATAGCCACTGAGGGGAAGAAAAGTTAAGTGATTGAGATACATCATACTATAGCAACTTATTACCAAAAGCCCAAGATTAGATACCATAAATTCAATCTGCTTGGTTCTGTGATTTTTATTAGCCCCATTTAGAAACCTAGAGAGAACAGAGCTCCATGGCTTAAGTTTTCCAAGGTAGAAATATGCAATAAAATGCAAAGGAAAAGGTGTGAAGAAAATCAATGACTGATTCTCTATAGAAGTCTTATAAAGAAATGAAGCTGCCCTGGCCGGTTTGGCTCAGTGGTTAGAGTGTCGGCCTGCAGTCCAGAGAGACCCGGGTTCGGTTCCTGATAGGGGCGTGTGCCTGGGTTGTGGTTTGTCCCCGGCCTTGGTTGGTCGTGCAGGTGGCAGCCATTCGGTGTGTCCCTTTCACGTTGATGTTTCTCTCTTTCTCTTCCTTTCTCTCCCTCCCACTCTATCTGAACAAAAAATGGAAAAATGTCCTCGGGTGAGGATAAAAAAAAAAGAAAGAAAGACATGAAGTTAGCAGAACTGAGTGCCCCTACTGAAGCCTGAATATCTGTATTTCTATTAGGTATATACAGAGGAATAATGTAGCCTGGAACAAGGTTCTCCTAGTCTAGAGAAATACAACACAAAGTCTATCCAAAAAGTGGCCATCAATATAGTTAGAGTAATATTATGAGAAGTCCATTCAGGAGGTAGTAAAGTTGCTACTTAGGAGATTAAATGTGAATTCTGGGTGAACAAGGGTCTTGAATGAATGAATGAAAGATTTGAGACTATCCTGAAATAAAGTTGGGAATCTATCACAAAAAATCTAGATAAGAATAAGAGTACACAAAGCTACCAGGAGAGAGGAGTATATGAAAAGAGTTCAATTCTTTGCCTCAAAGATTATTATTGACCTTGAAAGTATTTCAGATTCCAGATTTCTTCATTTCTGATGAGAAGAATAATACCATCAAGAAACTTTTAAGAATTAAATAATTAATATGATGGATAACAACTAATTAGAAATAAATAATCTGAGACAAGAATGAAAACTATAAAATTATTTAAACATAGGAGTGAAATCTGTGTGACCCTGAATTAGGGAATGCTTTCTTATACAAGACACCAAAAGAACAAAGAAAAACCTGAGAAAATGGACTTCATCCAATTTTTAAAAATTCCCATCCATTTTCAATTCTTTGGGGTACATACCTAAGAGCAGTCGTGGGTAATATGGTAACTCTATAATTAACTTTAAGAAAAAAAGACCTCTTATTTTTCAGACCTCTTATTTTTCAATTACAGTTGCTGTACAATATTATATTAGTATCAGGCACACAACCCAGTGATTAGACACTTACATAACTTACAAAGTGATCACCCCAATAAATCTAGTACCCATCTGACACCATATATAGTTACTACAGTATGACTAACTATATTCCCTAAGCTATACATTACATCCCCATGACTATTCTGTAACTACCAATTACTACTTCCTAATCCCTTCACCTTTTCTACCCATTACCACCAACCCTCTCCCATTTAGCAACCGACAAAATGTTCTCTGTATCTATGAGTCTGTTTCTGTTCTGCATGTTTATTTGTTGGAATCTTCCACATATAAGTGAAATCATATGGCATTTGTCTTCCTCTGTCTCACTTATTTTGCTCAGCACAATATCCTCTAGGTCCATGCATGTTGTTGCAGATAGCAAGATTTCATTGTTTTTATGGCTAAGTTATATCCCATTATGGTATATGCATCCCTTCTTCTATACAAGGACACTTAACTTGCTTCCATATCTTGGCTATTATAAATAATGCTGCAATGAACATAAGGATGCATATGTCTTTTGATTTAGTGTTTTGGGGTCCTTCAGATAAATACCCAGAAGTGGAATTGCTGGGTCCTTCTTTGTTATATAGACTTTGGTTTAGAGTCTATTTTGTATAGTATAAATATTGCTACCTCCGCTTTTTTTTTTTTTAATTTCCATTTTGATAAAATATCTTTTTCCATCCCTTTACTTTCAGTCTTTCTGTCTTTTGATCTGGAGTACCTTGTAGATAGTATATGTAAGGGTCTTGTTTCATTATCCATTCAGCCACCATGTATCTTTTGATTAGAACATTTATTTACATTTAAAGTAATTTTTGATAATGTATTTACTGCCATTTTATTATTCATCTTTGATTTTTTTTCTTATTCTTAAAGAAGCCCCTTTAACATTTTATATAACACTGGTTTGGTGGGGATGAACTACTTGAGCTTTTTCTTGTCTGGGAAGCTCTTTAAATGTCCTTTGGTTCTAAATGATGGCTTGGTTGGGTAACTTTGATTGTAGGTTCTTGCTTTACATTACTTTGAATATTTCTTGCCAATCCCTTCTGGCCTGTAGTTTCTGTTGAGAAATCAGCTGAATTTTATGGGAGGTCCCTTGTAGGTAACTTACTGCTTTCCTCTTGCAGTTTTAAAATTCTCTTTGTATTTAATCTTTGTCATTTTAATTATATGTCTTGGTGTGGCCTCATTGGGTTCATCTTGTTTGGAACTCTCTGAGCTTCCTGAACTTGTATGTCTATTGCCTTCACTAGGTTAGGTAAGTTTTCTGTTATTTTTTCAAATAAGTTTTCAATTCCTTGCTCTCTCTCTTTTCCTTCCAGCACCCCCATGATGCGAATGTTGGTATGCTTAAAGTTGTCCCTGTGGCTCCTTAAACCATCCTTAACGTCTGTTGTGTTTTTTTTGTAATCCTCACCTGAGGATACCTCTTTCATTGATTTTTTTTTCCCAGAGAGAATAGAAGGGAGGGAGAGAAAGAGGGAGGAAAGAAAGGAGAGAGGGAGAGAGAAAAACATCAATGTGAGAGACATACCAACCAGTTGCCTCCTGCATGACCCCGTCTGGGGCTAGGATCAAACCTGCAACCCTTGACCGGGAATCGAACCTGTGACTCTTTAGTCCAACATTCTAACCACTGAGCCAAACCAGCAAGGACTAGTGACCCTCATTTTTTTGGATTCTTTCTTTTTGCTATTCTGATTGTGAGTATTTTTTGCTTCCTAATCTTCCAAATTGCTGATTTGATCCTCTGCTTCATCTACTATACTGTTGATTACCTGTAATGTATTCATTTCTTACTGGTTCTTTCTTATGCTTTCTATCTCCATTTTTTTTATTTTATTTTTTTTTATCCTCATCCGAGGACATTTTTCCATTTTTTGTACAGACAGAGTGGGAGGGAGAGAGAGAGAGAAACATCGACATGAAAGGGACACATCGAGTGGCTGCCACCCGCACGACCAACCAGGGCCGGGGGCAAATTGCAACCGAGGTACATGCCCTTAGCGGGAACCGAACCCGGGTCTCTCCAGACCGCAGGCGGACGCTCTAACCGCTGAGCCAAACTGGCCAGGGCTCTATCTCCATTTTTTATGTTTCCTATCTCTCTGTTGAAGTACTCACTAAGTTAATCTATTCTTCCCCTAAATTCACTGAACATCCTTTTGTAATCAGTATATTGAATTCTGCATCTGATAGATTGCCTGTCTCCATTTTGTTTAGTGCTTTCTCTGGAGTTTTGTTCTGTTCTTTCATTTTGGGACATGTTTTTTTGTCTCCTCATTTTGGCAGCCTCCCTGTGTTTTTTCTATGTATTACATAGAGCTGCTACGTCTCCCAGGTTTGGTAGAGTGGCCTTACTAATTGATGTCCTATAGGGCCCAGTGATACAACTTCCCTGGTCAATGGAGCTGGGTGCTCAAGGTATACCACCAGTGTGAGCTCTGGTTACCCAGCTATTGCAGTTGAACCTTGATTGCTGTTGGCATGTCAATGGGAGGGATTTATCACAGGCTGACTCGCTGCAATCACCACCATGAAAGATCTGCTGTTCAGGGGCCAACCCCACAAAAAACTTGCTTCAGCAGAGCTCTGGATGCCTGCTGAGTTCACACTGAGTGTGCCACTCACGAGGGTTGCTGGATGGTCCTTCCGCATGGTTTGAAGCTGTCCACTGCATGTGCTGGCTCTGGGGCCTCCAAGGTCAGCTGCCACCTGTGCCCTGCCTGGGCAAAGTGATTTGCAGATGGCTGCTACTTGTGCTGGGCTTGGAGATGCCCTTGAGGCCAAGCTGTGATCCAAAGCTGGCTACTGCTAGTGCTGGTAGAGACTGAAATATAGTGCCCACCAGCTGGCTCTGTGGGGGTAGGGCTCAGCAAAGGAACAACAGCATCTGCTAGTACTTCTGTCCGGGAGAAAGATGCCCCTCCAACCCTTGCCCCACATGAGACAATTTAGTTCCTCCTCGTCCTTGGTGCTTTTTGAGCTGCTGCCCCAGTGCTGAAGATTAGAGCAAGTGAGTCTAAGTCCATGTACATGCCCTTTAAAAGGAATGCCTTGGTCTCCAGAAACCCTCCATCTCACTCATCCACTATCCCTGACAATTTTCACAGCCAGAAGTTTGGGGACTTATCTTCCCGGGACTGGAACCCTGGGCTGAGAAGCCTAGTGTTGGGCTGGGACCCTTTGCTTCTAAGAGGGGACCAGTGCAGCTGAGATAGCCCTCTCAATTTTTAACCATCATATGTGGGTATGGGACCAGCTTGTTCCACGTCTCTGTTCCTCCTACCAGTGTCAATGTGGCTTCTTCTTTAAGTCCTTAGTTATAGGACTTCTGTTCAGCTGGATTTCAGGCAGTTCTGAATGGTGTTTTTTCTATAGTTTAGTTGTAATTTTGATGGGGCTGTGGAAGGATGTAGTCCCAGACTTACCTACTCCACCATCTTGACCAGAAGCTATGTTTAACTTTTGGAAGAACTGCCAAAGTGTTTCCAAAATGGCTGTGTCATTTTATATTCCCACCAGATTATTCATAAGGGATCCAATTTCTTCACATTCTAGTCAACACTGATTATTTTCTGATTTTTTTTGTTGTTGTTTTTAACTATAGACATCCTATATTGGGTGTAAAGTGGTATTTCACTGTGGTTTGGATTTGCAATTCTCTACTAACTAATGATGATTTCCTGTGCTTCTTGGTCATTTGTATATCTTCTTTAGAAAAACCTCTGTGTAAATCCTTTGCCCATTTTTTAAAAACAGAGTTGTTTTTCTTTTATTGGTGAGTTGTATGAGTTCTTTATATATTCCACATATTAGACCCTTATCAAATGTATGATTTTCAAATATTTTTCTCCCGCATGTAAGTTGTCTTTTCACTTTCTTGATGTCCAAAAATCTTCAATTTTGATTGAGTTCAATTTACCTATTTTTCTTTTGTTGCCCGCATTTTTGGTGTCAGGTATTTAATTCTCCCCAATTTCTTACAGTTGAGCTGTGATACTTTGGTAACATATAGCACCCAAACTCAAATATGAAACTATAGTCTAATTCTAACTGAGACTACTTAGCTCACATATGATGTTTATTCTAAGACTATGCTCTTGCTAATACAGCTAAAATTTGAAAAACAAGAATCCTTTCTCTAACAAATGTAATAAAAAAGAGTCCCTCCTCCCCCCCATTTTTTACATACCTCCTATAAAAGTACCATTCATACTATTGCTTGTAAGAGTAGCTGAAGCCTCTGACACTGTGGAGGGTTGGCTACTAGTGACAGCTGAAGCAGTATCAGAGGCCTGCTCAGAGGTAGATGGATTGGAATTGTTAGTGGAAGCGCTTGTGGTTTGTGATTCCATTCTCGCAGAAGTGGTTGGTATTACAGTAGGTTCTACAAAATACAAAATGTTTATTCAGCATTTCAAAACAAATTAGGTAATGGATTATATTTCAATCTAAGCTAACATTTTTTATGATAAGTATTAAAGCAAACTTTAAAAATTTAAACTCCTACCCAGCCGGAGTGGCTCAGTAGTTGAGCACTGACCCATGCATCGACCAAGAGGCCGGAGTTGCGGGCTTGATCCCTGGTAGGGGATGTGCAGGAGGCAGCAGATCAATGTTTCTCTCTCATCAGTGTTTCTCTCTCCCGCTCCCTTTCTCTCTCTCTCCAAAAAAATCAATAAAAACATTTAAAAAAAATATATGAACCCTCTAGTAAGTACAATACATAGTAAAAAAAGATTTCATGAAACTAAACTATAACATGCAAATGACATTACTAACATATGATAATTGCATTTTTTAAAAATCGAACACAAAATATGCATATCCCAATAATTCAGGTGATTAACATAGTTTTTTGGTTTTTTTGGGGTTTTTTTATCCTCACCCGAGGATATTTTTCCATCTTTTGTTCAGGTAGAGTGGGAGGGAGAGAGAAGAACAGAGAGAGAGAGAGAGGAACAGAGAGAGAGAGAGAGAAACATTGATGTGAAAGGAACACATCGAGAGGCTGCCACCCACACAACCGACCAGGGCCGGGGACAAACTTCAACCGAGGTACATGCCCTTAGCGGGAACCGAACCCGGGTCTCTCTGGACCGCAGGCCGACGCTCTAACCGCTGAGCCAAACCGGCCAGGGCTAACATAGTTTTTTGAATAGTACAATGAAGAAGAGTACAATGAAAGTAAAAGTCTCTCTACCATGTTCATATACATTGTTACAAGCTGTTAGAACAGTGTTACAACTAGCACTTTCCCCTGTACAGTATGAATTCTTGAGTCAGATGCTTGGAAAGCAATTCTGATGTCACCATTGACAGTATGATCCTGAATAAGTTTCTTAACTACTTTCCATTTCCTCACCTATAGAACTAGGAAAGGACAGAATTTTCTTCATAGAACTGCTGTTAAGATAAACTGAGATCACACATATAAAGCACCTTGTATGATGCTTACATATAGCAATAACTTAATAAACATTACTTGTATGATGCTTTACATATAGTAATCATATAATAAACAATATGGTATTTAGTATATTTTAACCCTTTTACATGCATTTTTGTATGTTTTCCAAATTTTTAAAAAAATATTAATATTTAGCATACTTTATAATAAAAATTAAATTTTTTGTAATGGAATATAAAAGAAATTTCAGGCAGACTTTAACTTATGAGTTATATTTTAGACTCTGATTATAAATTTGTCATTTAAAATCAGAGATGGAAATAAATCCGTCTAAAGCATATTCATAACAACTAGATCTCAAAAAGGAGGACTCTCTTAATGTGATATAGAACAAGAGGACAACTATTTTATTCAATGCAATGTGGAAGGCTGGCTCCTGAAACACAAATAGTGCCTGTTTGGTCTATATGGAACACTGTACTTTGGATGCTTAAACAAATGTATTTGCCTACAACTAAAATGGGAAAGAAGGTACCTCTGTTTATTTGCATAAGGTTTATCTCAGTTTCTCAACCTTGGAAGTACTGACATTTTTGGCTGAATAATTCTTTGTTGGAGGTGGGAGTGGGGATAGAGTGTGGGCTGTCCTGTGTGTTATAGTATGTTTAACAGCATCCCTTGCCTCTACCCATTAAATACTGCCCTGGCGTGTTTGGCTCAGCATTTAGAGCACTGGCTTGAAGACCGAAGGGTCTCAGGTTTGATACCCAGTAAAGGGCATGTGTACCTGGATTGCAGGTTCAATCCCCAACCCTGGTCAGAGTTGTGTGGGAGACAACCAATCAATGTGTCTCACACATAGATGTTTCTCTCTCTCCCTCCCTCCCTTCCACTCTATTTAAAAAAAAAAAAATCAATGGAAAAATATCTTCAGGTGAGGATTAACAACAACAACAAAATGTTAATAGCACTCTCCCTACAACTGAGAGAACCAAAAATGTCTCCAGAGACACAAAATGACAGCCAGTTAAAAACCACTGATCAAACTGATATACTTAAGTTTTGGGTTTATTTTTTAATAACAGAGAAGCTTTCCACTGAAAGAAACTAGTTGGGAAAACATGGCATCTACTGATTACTGAAATACTATTAACCTAGTTGAAGTATTCTGGTTAAACTAATTCTAGTGGATTAAAAGGTTACCCTGCCACCTTTTCCACTTACTAGATAACAGGTGTCACATGGAAAACACACAAAAAGTTTCTAAACTAGTCATCCTAAATTTAACTAACTCCAAGTAATCTTTAATTAACTCCTATTACATTAACCGCTGACTTACAGGTAATTAGTTATACTTCAAAATAAAAACCAAGCCCTGGCTGGTTTGGCTCAGCAGCTAGAGTGCCAGCCTACAGACCAAAGTCGGGGATTCGATATCAGTCAAGGGCACGTACTTTCGTTGCAGTTCAGTCCCCAGCCCTGGTCGGGGTTGTTCAGGTGGCAACCAGTCAATGTGTATCTCTCACATCAATGTTTCTCTCTCTCTCTCCCTCCCACTCTATCTGAAGATAAATAGAAAAATATCCTCCAGTGAGGATTAAAAATAAAAAGGCAAAATAAAAACCAAGACATTGATGAATAAAATGCAGGCCATGGGAATAAATGATCTTTTCATAAACATTTTAATTCCAAAGTACTAGTACTCTGAAAGTTATGATCCTCCAAACTGCAAAAAGCCCATATAAGAGCTGATTGCCCAAGGCCTCTATTTCTACCTACCTAATGTATCTTTTCTCCAATTTATAGCTAACGCTCAAAGTTAACAACTTTATACATGATTGACCAACTTCTTTTAAGGAAATTATGGCTGACATTTTAAGGAAATTATTATGACATTTCCTTCTTAGATGAAACTAATAATGCCTGAAGACAATTCTCAATATATAGAAAAATTCACATATGTATTCATATATTCAAACATTCTATCACTTTCCCTAACTCCTGTTTTCCAACTCTAGCTTTTTTTCTTCAGTTACTGTAAGTCAAAACAAACCACTAAAATTAAGAAGCACAAAAGGTACATACAGGGGTGGGCAAAAGTAGGTTCATAGTTGTAATACAAATAAATAATACAATAAATAATAATACAAGAATAAACAGTTTCATATACTCACAACTGTAAACCTACTTTTGCCACACCTGTAAATTATGTTAAAGAATAAAAATTTTTTTATTTAAATTTTTTTTTTTATCCTCACCCGAGGGCATTTTTCAATTTTTTTGTACAGATAGAGTGGGAGGGAGAGAGAGAAAGAGAGAGAGAGGGAAATATCGAACTGGAAGAGACACATCGAGTGGCTGCCACCTGCACGACCAACCAGGGCCGGGGACAAACTGCAACCGAGGTACATGCCCTTAGCGGGAACCGAACCCGGGTCTCTCCGGACCGCAGGCGGACGCTCTAACTGCTGAGCCAAACCGGCCAGGGCATAAAAATTTTTTTAAAAATTGTTTTTTCTTTATTGATTTGAGAGAGAGAGGAAGGGAGAGGGAGAGAGAGATAGAAACATCGATGAGAGAGAACATCGATTGGCTGCTTTCTGCTTGCCCCCCACTGGGGATTGGGCCCACAACCTGGGCATGTGCCCTGACCAGGAATCAAACTGATGACCTCTTGGTGCTGAGCCACACTGGCCGGGCAAGAATAAAATATTTTTAAACATAAATTTGACATTTCAAATAACCAGTATTAACCATTTAAATTCAGTTACACTGCTTTACTGTTGTTCATATTTAAAAAGTGCCATTTCTGCCCTGACCAGTGTGGCTCAGTTGGTTGAGCGTCATCCCATACAAGGAAAGGTTGCAGGTTCAATTCCCCGTTAGGGTACATACCTAGATTGCAAGTTAGTTCCCAGTCAGGGCACTTATGAGAGGCAACCAGTGGATGTTTCTCTCTCACATCGATGTTTCTCTTCCTTCCCCTAACCCCTATCTTCGGGGGAGGATTAAAAACATTTTAAAGTGCCATTTCTGCTCTGGCCAGTTTGTCTCAGTGGTTAGAGTGTTGGCCCACATACCAAAGAGTCTGGGGTTCAATTCCCAGTCAAAGGCACATACCTTGGTTGGAGGTTATATCCCTGGCCACGGTGGGGGTCATGTGGGAAGCAACTGATCAATGTATCTTTCACATCAATGTTTCTTTCTCTTTCTCTCTACCACCCCCCCCCCAATCTAAAAATCAATGGAAAAATATCCTCAGGTGAGGATTAAAAAATAAAGTAAGTACTTCAATGTCAGAGACTGGGTATTTTCTCTCTGAATTCCCAACATTAAAAACAGTACCTAACACCCAGCATATGTTTAATATTAATTGCATGAAATGAATGAATAAACAAAATTTCAATTAAAAAAATAAAAATAAAGTGCTATTTCTATTTTTTCATAGCAAAAGTTAAAGTATGGCAATATTATAAATGAAAGTAATAGGTAAGCCTAAGAATAGATCCAACTATCACTTGTAAAAATATTTTTTTTCTACGAAAATAACTACCAAAAAAATTTTAAAATAACCAGAAAAAATTTTAGGCACAATGTAGTATATTATAACTAAGGTCAATTGAAAAATAAGATGAGAATATCCGACAACTTCCCTGTAGTTTAATAGCATAGTAAGATACTTCGTTTTATCAAATTCTCTTCATAGTTCTATACTGTTATTACTCCACCTTACCATCTTCATCAACAGTAAGGTCCACAACTTCTGCTGCATTCTGCCTCAAGGGCTGTATCACAGTAGAAATCCTACTGCGGTTCCGTGGCTCCTGTGGTCGACTTGTATGAGAACTTGAACCTTGACTCCAATGAGATCTGGAGTGTCCAAGGGTTGAACGAGACCTTAAATGATACCAATATTAAAGTAGTAAATATAAAAAAACACATAAAAATTTTAATTAACCAAGAATAAGCCTTTCTTTACAGAATAATCTGGGTAGTACTTCATGAAAGACTTCTCCAAATAAACAATGGTCATAGAATTAAAAATTATGACTAGCACAATGTCTGTCTGGCATTCAATAAACAGCTTCTGAATGTTCACCATCTAACTGACCTAAGAATGTGAGAAATAATATTATCATCTTGTACCAACCACTGGTATAAACAAGATTCTGTTTCAAAAATGCTGCTCTATTCAATGGTTAGTTTGAATATTCGCCTGGATTATAATCAATTACTTACATTTTATGTAAATACCTAAATTTAGTTACCAAAGATAAAGTAACAAAAATAGCAATACCTGAACATTTAATGTCCATATGATCTTATATGTTTAGCCCAGACTGGATTCGCAAAACATAGCTTTGGGAGTCCTAAACCAAGCTAAAATTCTGGTACTGATCTACAAGAGATTCAAGGCACCAGAGATATTTCCTGGGATCAGAAGTAAGGATAGCCCTTGTGGGTGTAGCTCAGGGTCTCAGGTTTGATTCCCAGTCAAGGGCATGTACCCAGGCTAGCAACATGTGGTATGATACTCTCTTGTGAGGCTGGGCAGTGGTAGCAAGCTGCAGCTCCCAATTAGCCACCTGATTATGAGGATAAACGAGTGTGTCTTCATTGATGATTCTGTCCAACTGTAGGCTAATGTAAGTATTCTGAGCACATTTAACGTAGGCTAGGCTAAGCTATGATGCTTAGTAGGTTAGGTGTGTTAAATGCATTTTCTTTTTTCTTGATTTCTTTTCTTTTTAGGTAAAATTGATATGTAATATTATTTAAATGCATTTTCAATTTATAGTATGGTAAACTTACAATGGGTTTATTGGGACGTAACTCCCACTGTAAGTTGAGGAGCATTGCAGTTTGAAGCCTTAAGAAATACCACTTATGCCCTGGCCGGTCCTGAGAGACCCGGGTTCGGCTCCCGCTAGGGGCGCGTACCTCGGTTGCAGTTTGTCCCCGGCCCTGGTCGGTCGTGCGGGTGGCAGCCACTCGATGTGTTCCTTTCACATCGATGTTTCTCTCTCTCTCTCTGTTCCTCTCTCTCCCTCCCACTCTACCTGAACAAAAAAATGGGAAAATTTCCTCGGGTGAGGATAAAAAAAAAAAAAAGAAATACCACTTATGCCTGGCCAGTGTGGCTTTGTGGATTGAATGGTGTCCCATGGACTGAGAGGTCCCGGTTCAATTCCCAGTCAGGGCACATGCCACGTTTCAGGCTCAATCCCCAATGGAAGGCATGCAGAAGGAGGTTGATTGATGTTTCTTTCTCACATCGATGTTTCTATCTCTCTCCCTTCCTCTCTAAAAAAATCAATAAAAACATATTAAAAAAAAAAAAAGAAAGAAATAGTCCCTGTGCCCTGGCCAGTTTGGCTCAGTAGTTAGACCACTGGCCCACAGACTGAAGGGTTGCACATTCGATTCCCAGCCCTGGTCAGGGTCCTTCAGGAGGCAGACAACGGATGTGTCTTTCTTACATCAATGCCGCCCACCACCCCATTCACTCCTTCCAGCTTTATCAAAGAAAACCAGAGCCCCGAGTGAGGATTAACAAAAATAAAAAGAGATATCACTTGTTTGAGCTGCTTTGTGCCTCTACAGTATGTAACCACAAACCCTCAACACCTAACTTTTAGCATCTTCTAATTATATGTGTGGTATTGTATGTGTGTACCTAAATTTCTTACAGGTATACATTTCATTAAAATTTTTCTTAAGCCCTGGCTGGTTTGGCTCAGCAGTTAAGAGCATTGGCCTGCGGCTCAAAGAGACCCGGGTTCAGTTCCTGTTAAGGGCACGTACCTTGGTTGTGGTTCATCCCCAGCCCCAGTTGGGCTTGCGTGGGCAGCAACCAGTCAATGTGTCTCTCTCACATCGATGTTTCTCTCCCTCTCTTCCTCTCTCTCTCCCTCCTGCTCTATCCAAAGATAAATGCAAAAATGTCCTCGGGTGAGAATAAAATAAAAAAAATTTTTTTTCTTAAGAATTCACTGTAATGATCTAAATGACTAAAGATACGGAAGGAGCCCTGGCCGGTTTGGTTCAGTGGTTAGAGCATCGGCCTGCAGTCCAGAGAGACCGTGTTCAGTTCCTGCTAAGGGCACGTACCTCGGTTGCAGTTTGTCCCCGGCCCTGGTTGGGTTGTGTGGGTGGCAACCACTCAATGTGTCCCTTTCACGGCGATGTCTCTCTCTCTCGCTCTCTCTCTCCCCCCTCCTCCCACTCTACCTGAACAAAAAAAATAGAAAAATGTCCTCAAGTGAGGATTAAAAAAAATAATAAATAAATAAATTAATAAATAAATAAATTAATTAAATAAAATAAGGATACAGAAGGATAATATACAGAATATGCAGTTCTAAGGTTCCAGGAGAAAAATCTGTTTTAGAAAGACAGGGCTTATGAAGTCAGTATTTTCTCCTGCCCAAGCTGAATGTAAAACTACTTATAGGCTTACTGTTAGAATGTATGAAAACGGTGAGCCATATTCATAATATACCGTTAAGCAGGGGTGCAAGCTTGACCATTCAGAAATGAACTCCAAGGTTCAAACTGGGCTGAAAATGGTCTCAGCAACTGTAAAAACTAAGAGTTTAGAAAAGATTCAAATTTGAAAACACTGAAGCAATAGGAGTATGAAAATTAATTCCTGAGATACAGTATAAAAAAAAAAGGACAGCACATTCCAAGAAGAATTGTATAGACAGAAGCATGACAGCAAAAAACTGTCTCAGGATGAAATGGTTTTGGATGAGGAGAGAGATCACCATTTAAAATTCTTGAGAAACCAAGATTAGGATAAGACTGAGTAGTCTATTTCTGAGAAGTTGTTAATAGCTGCAGAAAATTCCAGGTCCTCTTCACAATACTTTTGTGAAAGCTCCATAGGCTGCTTTAACTCAAATATTATGTGGAGTGGAGCATCAGCAAAAAAACTTGATGTATAAAGAACAGTTGATGTATGTGGCAAATGTTAAATCCTGACACAAAAGAATCTGAAACACAGATGCAGTCTCTCTTAAAGAGAAAGGGCCAACAGCCAACTAAACAGTAACAAACTTAATACCCTATGTAACAATAAGGAAAATAAACACAGGTCATGAGCACTGTGTGTCTTTTTAAGATCACTGTTTATCATCATGGTAAATACATCTGCTTTAACATTAAGTGTCTCCATGACAAGAAAGATCTACAGTTCCACAAGGAAAAACAGGTCCTAAATTTTAGCAATCCTTGTAGCTCATAAAAACTAAGTCAGTGCTGCCCTGGACGGTTTGGTTCAGTGGTTAGGGTCGGCCCATGGACTGAAGGGTCATGGGTTAGAATCCTGGTCAAGGGCATGCACCTCAGTTGCAGGTTTGATCCCCAGCCCTGATCGGGGTGGCAACCACTCGATGTGTTCCTTTCACGTCGATCTTTCTCTCTTTCTCTCTCCCTCCCACTCTATCTGAACAAAAAATAAAAAAATGTCCTTGGGTGAGGATAAAAGAAAGAAAGGAAGAAATAAAACAAACTCTATTTTCTAAAACACTAAGTAAAATTACTGTTTTTCTGGAGCATTGACTCTTAACTTTCACTGTACACTTGGGGTGCTTAAAAAATACTGACCCCTAATACTCTGGTTCAGTTGGTATGGGGCACACTCCAGGCAACAACATACCTTTCTTTTAAAACCTCCCAGGTGCGTTTAATGTAGCCTGGTTTGAAAACCACTAATCTAGTATATACATACTCAAACTAGGTCTCCAAAAAAATGGTAAAAGAAAGATGCAGCCCAGCCAGTGTAGCTCAATAATTGAATGTTGACCCTGCCATGCACCAAGAGGTTGCTGGTTTGATTCCCAGTCAGGGCACATGCCCAGTCCCCAGTAGGGGGCATGCAAGAGGCAGCCAAATGATGTTCTCTCTCATCGATGTTTCTATATCTCCCTCTCCCTCTCCCTTCCTCTCTCCAATATCAATCAATAAAAATTATTTTTTTAAAAAGATGCAAATATCTGCCACATAAATATGTTTAAATATTTCTATTTAAAATTTCAAATATAGAAACTAGTAATTAAAACCTTACCGATAGCTTTCTCCAACTGTTACAATCTCCACTTCACTGTCAGTTGAGGTAACATTAATTTCTTCATTGGCAGTGATCTGGGGAGTGGAGGAAGCTTCTATCACCACAACATCTTCATCAATACTTCCTGGAAACAAACAAATTCAAAGGGCATCTGCCTGTTAGCTAATTGATATACAAAAAGTTTTATTTTTCCTTTGAAGATAAAATTCATTCCAAAAGTAAAAATCACATCTGCAAAAAAATGAAAGGTCTTGTTTTTTTTAATGTATTTTATTTTAGAGAGAGAATAAGGGTGTGGGGAGAGAGAGAGAAACATCAATGAAAGAGAGAAATCAATAACAATCTATTGGCTGCCTCCTGTGCACCCCCCCACAGTGGACAGAATCCACAATCCAGGCATGTGCCCCGACCAGGAATCAAACTGGTGACCTCTTTGTCCATGGCTTGACACTCAACCACTGGGTCACACCAGCCAGGCAAAACAAAAAGTTTTTTAAAAACAGCTCAAAACACATAGTAAAAACAGTACTTACTTTCTTGATCTGTATCTCTTCAGATGTTCATCTCCTCTTTTATAATTTTTGTTTGTTTTTTATAAACTTTTAGTGGTCTCCCTATGAATTTGTATGATATTATACAGACATCATCACTGTTATATCTAAAGGTACTGCTTTAAGATCTAATAGAAGATATTCACAATCTAGCCCTGGCCGGTGTGGCTCAGTTGGTTGAGTGTCATCCCATGCACCAAAAGGTTCCATTTCCTTCCGATCGATCAGGGCACATGCCTGCAGGTTGTGGGTTCTATCCCCAGTAGGGGGTGTGCAAGAGGCAGCTGATCAATGTTTCCCTCTCACATCGTTTCTCCCTCTAAAATCAATTTTTAAAAAAGATATCTACATTCTTTATTTTTCCTTTAATATCTAAAATATGTATTTGCTATATATTTTCTTCAAAGTTATATTTTTCTGTGATATAGCATTTTTAAAGAAACACACATATTAGATTTTTAGTTTTATGCTATGAAATTGTAAATTTTTGTACATGTTTTTTTCTAAATTATTCTGTATGGAAAGTGTTTACTTATATGGAGCATGGGTACATACTATATTTGGTCCAATGTGTTTCCTTAATTATTTATTTCATCTAGAACCAATTTTTATTTATAGTATTAGATAAGAATATAAATACAATCTGGCTATTGCCGAACCATTTCTTGAAACATCCTTCCTTTTCCCTCAAATTTTGAAACCTCCCTTAAATATTCTTATATGTTTTAGATGATACTGTGAAGTCATCTACTAATTTGACCTAGATTCTTGTGTCGGGGTAATTCTATTTTTATTTTATTTTTTTTCTCCAATTGGGGTAATTCTATTTTTCAAACAGCTTTTCTGAGGTATTAGTTTCATAACCTAAAATTAACATATTGTCTCACAAAGAGATTATTTGCACACACATGCTCGTAACCAAGAGGTGAAAGCAACCCAAAAGTCCACCAGTGAATGAATGGATAAACTAAATGTGGTATAGCCCTAGATGGTTTGGTGCAGCAGTTAGAGCCTCTGCCCAAGGACCAAAGGGTCTCTGGTTGAATTCCCTGCGAAGGGCACATACCTGGGTTGCAGGTTCAATCCCTGGCCACAGTTGGGGTCATGCGAGAGGTAACCCATTCTATCTAAAAAAATCAATGGAAAAATATCCTCGGGTGAGGATTAACAACAACAAAAAAAGTAGTGTAGGCATAGAATGGAGTATTATTTGGCCTTTGCCCTGGCTCAGTGGTTAGAGCATCGGCCTCTGGTCCCAAGAGACCTGGCTTCAGTTCCCGCTAGGGGCATGTACCTCGGTTGCAGTTTGTCCCCAGCCCTGGTTGGGTTGTGCAGGTGGCGACTACTCGATGTGTCCCTTTCACGTCAATGTTTCTCTCTCTCTCTCTCCCTCCCACTCTATCTAAACAAAATATCAAAAAATGTCCTCGAGTGAGGATATAAAAAAAAAAAAATGAAGGCACTATGCCCCTAATAGGTATAGCTCAGTTGGCTGGGCATCATCCTGTGCATCAAAAAGTTGCTGGTTCGTTTCCCAGTCAGGATACATGCCCAGGTTGTGGGCTCAATCCCTGGTAGGGGGTGTAGATGAGGCAGCCAATGGATGTTATGCTCTCACATCAACGTTTCTCTCTCTCTTTTCACCTTTCTCTAAAAATCAATACACTATTAAAAAGTAAATATTTCTTTTTAAATGAAAGGAAATACTATCACCTGCTGCAACATAAATGAACCTTGAGGACATTATGCTAAGTGAAATAACCCACACAAAAGAACTGCATGATTCCACTGGTTCACAGAGAAAGTAAAATAGTGATGACTAGGGCTGGGGGAAAAGGAAACTTGTTTAATGGATATGAAGTTTCAGATTGCAAGATGAAAAAGTTCTGGAGATGTGTTTCACAACATAGTGAATACATTGCTGAACTGTATACTTGATAGGCCCTGACTGGTTTGACACAGCAGTTAGAGTGTTGGCCCGTAAACCAAAGAGTCGCAGGTTCGATTCTGGTCAAGGGCACATACTTTGGTTGCAGTTTCGGGCCCTGGCCCTGGTCAGGGCCGTTCAGGAGGCAAGCAATTGATGTGTCTCTCTCACACTGATGATTCTCGCTCTCTCTTTTTCTCTCCTCCCTCCTTCTCTCCCTTCCACTTTATCTGAAGATAAATTAAAAAATATTCTCGGGTGAGGATTTTTAAAAAACTGATTAAGATAGTAAAAAAATTATGCTCTATTTCTTCTCTTGCTATATTTTTCCATAAATCTGGTACTGAATGTCTGTAAGCACTCCTTTCTTTTCAATACTATCACCTGTCAATGTAAAGATCAACCAACCAAGTGTAAACTTATAAACTACAAATCATGTTTGTAATAAGAATACTGAGAGCTAAATATTCCACCCATTTTAAGTGTACATTTCTCTGGTTTCAGTAAATTTTTAGAGCATAACCATCACCTCATTCCAGTTTTAGAACATTTCCAACACCCTAAAAAAATCCCGCATGTCCTGTTTAAGTCAATCATCATCACTCCCTATAACCCTAAAAGAACTGACCTATTTTCTGTCATTATGGATTGGTTTGTATCTTCAAGAGTTCTACAGATATAGAGTCATACATTACATACACTTTTGAGTCTGTTTTCTTTCATTCAGTGCACTTACTCTGAGATTTACTCAAATTGTATTAATAGATCACTTTTTTTAAAAATATGTTTTTATTGATTTTTTAGAGAGACAGTAAAGGCAAGATAGAAACATGACGGTGAGAGAGAACCATCAATCAGCTGCCTCCTGCATGCCGCTCTACTGAAGATCAAGACTGAAACCCGGGCATGTGCCCTGACTGGGATCTCAGTCCATGGGAGGACACTCAATCCACTGGGTCACACTGGCCAGGCAGCTCATTCTTTTTTATTGCTGAGTACTAGCCTATCATATGAATATACAGTTTGCTTATCCATTCTTCTGTTGATGGACACCTGGATTTTTTTCACTTTTGGCTATTTTACAGAAAAAGCTTCTGTAAACATTTGTCTATAAGTCTCCATATATACATGTATTTTCATTTTTTTCTTGGGTAAATATTTAGAAATTTAATTCCTAGGTACTATAGTAAATTTATGTTTAACTTTTTTTTTTTATCCTCACCAGAGGACATTTTTCTACTTTTTATTCAGACAGAGCAGGAGGGAGAGAGAGAAACATCGACGTGAAAGGAACACGTCCAGTGGCTGCCACCTGCATGACCCAACCAGGGCTGGGGACAAACTGCAACTGAGGTACGTGCCCTTAGCGGACACCGAGCTGGGGTCTCTGCGGACCGCAGGCCAACACTCTAACTGCTGAACCAAACCAGCCAGGGCGTGTTTAACTTTTTAAAGTTATGCCAAACTGTTTTCCTAGAAGGCTGTAGGAAAAGGAGGGCTCCAGTTTCTCTACGGCCTCATCAATAACTGTTATTGCCTCTTTTTTATTATAGCTGTTCTAGTGTTCTACATAGTGGTAGTTCACTGTGGTTTTGATCTTTATCGTAACTAATGATGCTGAGTATTTTTTCAAGTGTTTATTAGCCACTTTGATGAAATGTCTATTCAAATATTTTGCCATGTTTAACCTGGACTTTGTTTTTATTATTGATCTGTAGGAGTTCTTCATATATTTGCAATACGAGGTCTTTTATCAGATACATTATTGGTAAATATTTTCTCCTAGTCAGTAGCATGTCTTTTATTTTCTTAATGATGTTGTTAAAGCAGTCTTTAATTTTGATGAAGTCCAAATTAGCAATTCCTTTCATGTATCGTGCTTTTGGTGACATGTTTAAGAAATCTCTGCCTAGCCCTGGGTGGTTTTGCTCAGCGGTTAGAGCGTTGGCCCTTGGATTGAAGTTTCAGGTTCGATTCCCAGTCAAGGGCATGTACCTGGGTTGCAGGTTCAATCTCCAGCCTGGTCAGGGTCATGCAGGAGGCAACGATCGATGTCTCTCTCTCATATCAATGTTTCTCTATCTCTCCCTCCCTCCCTTCCACTCTATCTAAAATAATCAATGGAAAAATATCCTCGAGTGAGGATTTAAAAAAAAAAAAAGAAATCTCTAAGTGAAGGTCACTAAGAATTTCTCCTATGTTTCTTTTAGAAGCTTTATATTTTAGCTATTACATTTATGTCTAGGATCCATTTTAATTTGTGTCTAACATGATGTAAAAGGTTTAAATTCATTTTTCTTGCATGTGAATCGACAGCTGTCCTAATACCATTAGTTGAAAAGACTAAAACACTTCTATTTTGATACCTAGATTAAGGTTTTCCTCATTATTATTCATAATTATAAAATCAAGATGAAAGAAAAAATTCTGAGATTTGGACTGGAGCAACATTAATAAAGCCCTGACATGTCTTATATATATATTTACTTAAATATAAATATATAAAATATATAAATATATAAAATACATATATCTATTTTTCTCATCCAGCAATTAATCTTGTTATCTACCAAAGTCATCTTTTATAAATCTCTAAAGAATTTGTAGGATTTGGTTTGATTATAAATGTAACTTTCTATAATGCTA